TTGTTTTGTTTTAAAGGAAAGATGTAGCTCTGAACATAGGGCTTGAAGAAAACCAATGTGTGACTATTTACTTCCATTGTTTTAAGCTTGAAAAAAAATGTTAAAATCACAGTCAGATTGGAAATAGACTCTCCTGTGCTGAGTGTACTCTGTTGGACGTAACAAGCAAATCAGATCCTGTGCTTTTGGACTAAGTAGAAAATAGTCCTGGGTACCTTTCTCTAGGCAGTAGATGTATTTCTGAAAATTGAATGTTTTAAAAACGAATTCTATTCCAAATAGGTGTAAAAATGTAGGGAATTTTGCAATTTAAAGGAACACCTGCTGAATCTACTTGAAAACTTTAGAACTCCTCTTGTAAATGCAAGTAGCCTCCACTCCTACCCCATCCACTGGGGACTTGTTGGCAGGTACAGAGATTATTTGCCTCTGTTTTCCCAGCTCCTAGCACAGTGCCCAGCATATATTAGGTGTATGATAAGTGTTTGTGGAGTTGAATTAACTAGAGATGATTTTATCCATCGCACCAACTTAATCAGGACATACCCATAAGATATGCTTCTTAAAAAAAAATAAATTTATTTATTTTATTTTATTTTTGGCTGCATTGGGTCTTCTTCGCTGCACGTGGGCTTTTCTCTGGTTGCAGTGAGCGGGGGCTACTCTGCACGGGCTTCTCATTGCAGTGGCTTCTTTTGTTGTGGAGCACGGGCTCTAGGTGCGTGGGCTTCAGTAGTTGTGGCATGTGGGCTCAGTAGTTGTGGCTCATGGGCTCTAGAGCGCAGGCTCAGTAGTTGTGGCGGCATGTGGGTTCTTCCCGGACCAGGGATCGAACCTGTGTCCCCTGCATTGGCAGGTGGATTCTTAACCACTGCGCCACCAGGGAAGCTCATACACATAAGATACGTTTATTCTAAGTTTTTTGTAGATATTCCTTTTCTGGGCATTTATCTTGGCTTTTACTTTTTTGAAATGGTATAATTATTTTTTCTGGTCTCAGTGTTTTCTTAATCCCCCTGTATCAGTGAAAGGGATCCATTACATCGATGATAGAAAGTTAACACGTGAAGCCTTGCCTCTGCTGCAGGACACTCTGCAGACTTTGCTGGAACATCTGCAAGGAAGAGGATGGGCAGTGAATCCACAGAACAGTCAAGGCCCAGGCATCACTGTAAAGTTGTTGGGAGTTGTGTAGTTGGCTAAGACTCAAGTTGTTCCAGAAGCTATAACTAGGATGTAAGCCTATCCAAGCCCTAAGAGTATGAAATAGATGCAAGCCTTTGTAGGCATTTTGGGGATTTGGAGGACTTTTATTGCCCACCTGGCACAATGCCTCTGTCCCTTATATAACCTGGCAAAAAAAGGGCACATGTGGAACTGCGAGTCAAAACTACAAGCTACCTCTGAGCAGCCAAGAATACTAGTGAAGCAGGTTAAAGCCCTGGGCGTCTCCCAAGCGGGGCTACCATGAGTTATATGTGTCTGTGACTCCAGAAAGTGTCAGTTAGGCCCTGTGGCAGAGACAACAGAAGGAAAGAGTGTCCCTAGGGTTTTGGTCCCAGCTCTAGAAGGTGGCAAAACTCTGATATGCCCCCAGAGAGCAACAGCTCTAGCAGTGTACACAGCATATCATGGTAAGAACTTCCCTTCCTTTCAAGGGGTGGATTGAGAATATGTTCCATCAACCCACATTTGCCATGACTCAAAGGCCCAGTTTGACTAAGTGGCATGCCTCTGTGTAGCAGGGGAACACCCTGTCCACCAGGCCCCTGCCTCTAGAAATGTGAGTGCTACTAGGTCCTGCAGAATATGTAGATCCTTCAAATGCCCCCTCTGGCAGTCAGGAAGCTGATTGAAGCAACTGACCCTTCAGTAGCCACAGCAGATTGGGTACATAGGAAGAGCAGCCACTGTAACACCTGGGTAAGATGGCATATTGCCAAGGATGCTGGCTTGCCCTTGAAATGCAGTGACTTGGTTCATGTAAGTAACGGCATGTCCTATATGTTCTAAACAACACCCAAAACAACTTCCAAAGTGGCCTGGTACCATCTACTGGAGTTTCCAACTGGTGAAGGATTGGTAAATTGATTATATTGGACCCCTCCCTCTGAGGGAGGGTTTTAAATATGCCTTGGTTTCTATGAACACTGCATCTGGCCTAACCCAAGCTTTCCTCTGTCTCTGCACAAACCAGGCTGCCACCATTAGGGGATTAGAGAACCGAGCACTATGTTTGGGTACCCTCATCCAAAAAACAGTGATGGATGGGTCACATTTCAAAGGTCATGATATGCAAGACTGGGCAAAAGAACATGACATGAATGGAGGTTCCATCTCCTCTACAACCTGTAAGGAGTAGGGTTAGTAACAAGGAAAAGTGCAATATTAAAGCGGCAGATTAAATTAATAACAGGTAAAGCCACCTTGGCTGCGTGCACTAAAGTCCTATCCTAGGCTTTAATATAGTTGATCAACCAGTAAAACCTGTTGCCCCGTGTATGAGACTGAGTACCCTTACCAGGACACCCAACATTGTAAAGGTACAAAAGTCATGGGAGAAGGCCATTGCCCTGACTCTCACCATGCGTCAACGTGCTATGCTGCTGATAACAGCAAGCCCTATCACACCTTCCCAGGTATCCTAAGACATTATCTACTGGAATTTACTATGGGACATCCCACCAGGACAGGTGAATTACTTCAATCTCCACAGGATCCCATTGTCCTGTTGCCAGCCAGACCTATGGAAATGTACTACATCTGGAATGAGGCCTCTTTCCATGGGAAAGAGGGGAGAAGGTGCGGTCCTGGTATGGCATATCCCCCAGTCCATTTCCTCATGCCTAACAGTGCTGCCTTCCCTGGCCTTGTATGGTATACACAGCCAGGTCAAGTTTCCAAACTTTCCAACCTCCCCTTCCTCAAGACCAGGTGGGCTGATCTGCTTTCCACTGGTGCCATCGTTTGACGGCTGCCCTTGTTCCCTCCATTGGCCTGGAGCACATAGAAGCTGTTACTAAATTCACCCAACAGTCCTTAAATGATAGCTGTCCTGACGGAACACTGAAATGCCATAATGAGAAAAGCTGTCCTCCAGCATAGGATGGCCTCAGATACTATCCCTGCCTTGCAAGGAGGCACCTGAGCCATTATCCAAGCAGAATGATGCGTGTTTGCACCTGATGAATCTGCTGTTGCATCACCTTTATTAAATCGCAGGAGGACGCAAGTGAACTTCCTGCGTGATCTGACCACCAACCCAGGGAACCTGAAAAATCAGTGGTTCAGATCATGGAGCTTTTGGTGGAAAAAAATGTTACTTATGTTGGGAATGTTAATCTGTGTTTTCTCTCGCATGTGCCTAGACCGTTGCTGTGGCCTCTATACATCGCGGAAGAGGGGGCAAGTGAGATTGTTAGAGCTAGTCATGAGGGGCAGACTGCTGGAGGAGGTCATGCACAGGGCGTGACCACCAGTTGTGACCTGCAAGCAGACCCCGGGCAATTGGAGGCTCCTCACTCCCTCCCTGTCATTGAAATGTACATTCTGCCCACAGGTCCCACAGCCGGAGCTGTTTTCAAGGATGCAGGTTTCAGAGTCATGTGGTGTTGAGACCACTGGGATTGAATATGTGACTGAATTCCACTGAAGACTCTATAAACTTTTAAGATTGTGGCGGGTGTGGAGATCTACTCATCTCGCTGACGCCCAGGACAAGCCTCCTCGTTTGTAAGTTTTCCTGAAACCTGACACCTGCCAATCTGGAGTGTTTCCCTCTTTCTGAGGTCTCTCCTTGCCCTCTGTGTTTGGGGGCCAGTTAATTTATGAACCAACACAGGGACAGATTACGTGGAGAGGTGGCTCCCAAGCTGGGCCCTGATGCAGGCCAGGAGTTCACTGGGGCACAAGAAAGTTAGGGGAATCCAGAAAGCATCCAGCAGGATCCAAGGTAGAGGCTGCCGTGTGGGAAGCTTGTCCGGGAGACGGTGGGGAGAACAGCTTCGCCGCGGTGCAGGGGTCACCTTGGAGAGCAATGCGAGGGGAGGTTGGAAAGGTGGGGGGCAGATCATGGTGGGACTGCAAAGTCAGAGAGAGGGCTTTCCTTTGGAAGCAGAGAACCCTCAAAAAGAAAACTAACATGCGTGGGCATCTCCTTTGTGCCAGGCCCTGTGTTAATTTCTTTATGTATCTATCCTCTCAGTTAATCTTGATAAAAATCCTACCAAGTGTTCTTATTTTTGAAGTGATAGAGGTTTTGCTTTGAATTGAAAGCTTTAAGCAGGAGAAGGGCACAGTGAAGGCAGAGTTTAAAGAGATTGATCCGGGCATTGTGGATTGAGGTAGAGGGACCTGGGGTCATAGGGTCCAGTTTGGAGAGTCCAGCTTTTTCTTCCTGTTTCTTTCCTTCCTGTTTCCTCTGCTGTGAGGATAAGATAATTTCCCCCAAATTTCCATTAACACCATTTTTTTTTTCAACTTGTTACCATGTTTAACATTTGCTTTAACTCTTTACTCTTTTTGTGTTGATTGGTTCCTGGAGGACTGAGACTTCCAGAAAACAGAACAAAACAACCCGCACCCCCTCTCCGTAATTGCCATTAACTAGTATTTTGAATCTGGAATTCATTTATTTTAAAAATTTAAGTGTTTATTTAATAATGAATTAAGGAAAGAGGTTATTATTACTTGCCCAGCTTAAACATGCATAAAATAAGTCAGTGGGACAAGGGGGTAGAATAATGATAATTTTATGTAAGATTCTTAGATTATCCTTTTCTTCCAAGCTTGGGAAGATGGTGGGTCCCTCTGAAGACTCTAGGGTCATATTGGTATAATTTCCTTAATTTCCCAAGTTTTAACGAAGCAAAGCAGTGGTATGTAAGCAAAAGTGATAGTAATTTTTCATTTTGTTTTTATAAATCTCTGCTGCTCCAATCAAAATTGAAAATGTGTTTAATGTCTGAACAGTTTTGAAAGGATTGATTTAAGTGAACAAGATGACTGGCTGGCTGGTCTCTCTGACAAGTATCAAAATACTACTTTTAGCAGGTGAGTTGGATGTGTTTTGAAGGGATTTTGGATAGAATGCAGCAGGTTACCTTGAGAACTAATTTACTGATACTTAAATATTACTTTGGGAGGAAGTGTTAAAGTATCTCCCCTAGGTTTAAATTTTCTCTGCTTAATAATTTTTTTCTGTTTAGTAGTTGAGGTTATATATTAAATAGTTATATACTTTAATTTTTAACAGCCAGTGGAAGTTGCTGTTAAGTCTAGAGCTTTTAATAATAACTTATAACCTTCCTTTTATAATTTCTTTTTGAGCCATACAATGCAATTCTTTTTAGATTTTATTACTTTATCTTCCCAAGGGGAGTAGCTTATCTTGTCGTAGTGATTAATGACCAATAAAAAATTCCTTTTCTCAAACCGGGTCTCTCGTTTTCTCAGTGACTTTGGTTATCCTCTGTATCTTTTTATGACATTTGTTTTTGATCTTCGTTAGGTAGAAGTATCTAATACACCTTTGAGGGGTAAGCATGAGCCCGTCTGGCCAGGGCTGCCACGAATGGTTGTGTCGATGTGAATGATTCTTACCACTCTTGGTTGTGCAGAGCGCCACCTGCATAAATGTACATGGAAGCCCTGGGCTAGCCAGAGTTAGCGTGGCTTGGGTGATCCTTTAACTTTTCTGATATAGAAACCGAAAAGTGTTCTGTAGACCTCACTGAGGAGCTAACTGATTTTTGCTGGCTTTACCTCGGACAAGGCATGTCCATCCAGGATCATCTTCAAAAATAAGGCATTGATAAGGTCACGCTCAGCCCATAGTCTCTATGCGAGAAGCCAGTCTAGCCTAGTGTGTAAGTCTATAGTGGGCTTTTAAAAAAATTCCAGCACTGATTCATGCTTCAGCCCCTCTCTGAGCAGGCAAAGCAAAAATCTAGAGAATGCTGTGTCTCTTTGGGGAGTCATTCTGATCATGTATTCAAAAGGGAGAAACTAGAGGATGATGTTATAAGCAGGAGGACTGAAGTAGGGATAACTTCCAGAACTTTCTCCTCTTCTCTGGGAAGTGGAAATATAAGAAGTAAGTGGTAACAGTTAAATATGACCCCCTAATTAAAGAGTGGGAAAGAGAGAAGGCATTTTATGGATTCAGTTAGGAACCAAATGTATCCTGGAGCCTTTTCCAAAGGAAGTGGAAATTCAGGATTGTCCTCGTGAACACATGGTTTTTGGATGTCTAAGATAAGAAGATCAGTCAAAACTTTCCTTAAAATGGGAGGAAGGTGTGGTCCCCAGACCAGTAACACCAGCAGCACCTGGTTAGAACTGTAAATTCTTGGGATCCACCACAGACCTACTGGATGGGAAACTCTGGGGGTGGGTGCAGCGATCTGTGCTGTATGAAGCCCTTGTGGTGATTCTGAGGAATGCTCAAAGGAAGCTGGTGGATTGCATTTGCACACTGAAGCCAGGGTTTCTCCTACTCACTTATAGTGCCTTGTCTGAGTGTCCACATTGAACCTGAAGAAGGCAGCCTCGCAGGAGGAACGTGGATCACTGTCATTTTTGACGGTAGGTTTGGGCCTTACCGAATGCAAGTTTCTTATTTGTTGATCTAAAGAATCCTAAAGAATGAGTCCTGTTTAAGGACAGATGTAAAAGAGATCTGGAAGGGAGATGGACCAACTGACCAACTTCTGTGTTACTGGATGCCCACATGCTAATGTTACATCACACCATTATATGTCTGTGTCCACTTCCTTATCCCAAGCTGTGGGGTGGAACTCTAGGAACCCTAATGAGATGATACCCATGTAGCACAGAACTTGGCAATGTGACCCTCAGAACCTTGGTTATCTTCCTTGTCGAGAATCCTACATATGGGAGCTTCTAAGCCATGGCTCAGTGTATCCATCTATACCACTGGAAAAGAGTAACTTTGAGGGTTGGAAAATGCTTTCCTGGATTTCAGTGGATGGACCTGAAGAGAGAATTAAGAAAAAAAATAAAGTCATAAAGAAGCACACTCATTCATACAGGCTTTGGAAATGAGAAATATTACTTTTAACCCTTCGGTAAACTCAGGGCCTGCCATTGCCCCCGTGTGGCAGGTTTTTGTGTTGCCCTGGGTGGATTACTGCTCTGTTCAGCCTGAGACTCCACTCTCCCTTGCGTTTAGGTTTGGAGCCAGGTCTCCTTTATCCTGCCAACGGCTCTCAGCTGGAGATCCACCTGGTGAATGTGGCTGTACCCATGCTGCCCATCATACCCTGTGACATCTCTCCTGTCCTCCTGGATTTGCCGGTAGTGATGTGTAGGACCAGGTACACCTGCCCCGGGAATGAGAAGGCCAGACAGGATGAGTGCTTTGCTAATCTCAGTGGCTTTCACTGGCAAATTAGAGCAACTCCTGCCATGATTGCAATTACCAGTATAGTTCCCTATCAGAGCTTTAGGGCTTAAGGGAGGATGAGAATATGGGAAAGATTTTTGAGAATTCTGAGACATTTATAAGGAGGGGTTGGGGGCTGGATGATGTTTTCAGTTTTGTGTGTGTGTGTGTGTGTGTGTGTGTGTGTGAAGGTCTCTATTGCTATTCAGATTTCAATAAATGGGGCCATTTTGCCAACTATTTTTTGGAATAGGCATAATTGTAATGATTGTACATAAACTAAAAATCAGTTAGAAAGGAAATTCACCTTAGTCCTCAGTTTGTTTGCTGAGTCTGATATGATTTTTACAGGATTCCAGATTATCTGTTGTCCTACTTAAGTTTTTGTTGACCTGTAAAGCTTACACTAGTTTGTTCTTTCTTTAATATCTAAGAGATGTTGCCTGAAAGTGGATCATTGGTTAAGAGAAAAAGAGATTGTCATTTCCTTTTGTTTTCTGTTCCCTCTTTCAGGAAAGTTCCCTCTCTTCCATCTCTGCCTATTGAACCAGCCATATTACAAATGCTACCTCTTCCCTGAACAGCCAACTGAGTGTCATCTTTCCCTTCTTTGATAGGGGACAAGTAGGAACTGAAATCCAGCTTTTGAGGAAGGAGCACATTTTAGCATTCATCCATGGGACATGGATGGATTGTGTATTCAACACATGGGACATGTGTTTGTGTATTCACACACACAAACACACTTTTTGGGCAATTCATCTTCCTGAAGGGAGGACCTTTCTGTAATTTACACAAAGGCATAGGATGCACAGCCTTAGTGGCCCTGTTTCTTCAGCCCTATGTTTCTCATGACACTTTGTCAATTGCCCACTTTTCAGATTCATCCTCACAGAATTAAGTGCTTTGGGGACAGAGGATGTGATTCACCCACCTTATAGTCCTTATGATGCTGAGCACAATATCTTGCTAGTAGAAGATGCTCAAAAGATGTCTGTTGAACTAAAGTTCCTTATAGCACTGCTGTTGGTAGAGATGATTTCCATAGGTTTTATGGTATATTGGGGCATAGAGTTCCTGCAAGAACTTGCTATGAAATAAGTCAAAGCTCTAACGATTTGTATGTTCTATCTCCTCAATCCCCAAATGCTAATGACTTTAAGATGGGGCTTCCCTGGTGGTGCGGTGGTTAAGAATCCGCTTGCCAACGCAGGACACACAGGTTCGAGCCCTGGTCCGGGAATATCCCACATGCCGCGGAGCAGCTAAGCCCATGTGCCACAACTGCTGAGCCTGCGCTCTAGAGCCCGCGAGCCACAACTACTGAAGCCCGTGCGCCTACAGCCCATGCTCTGCAACAAGAGAAGCCACAGCAATAAGCCCGTGCACCGCAACAAAGAGTAGCCCCTGCTCACCGCAACTAGAGAAAAAGCCCGTGTGCAGCAACAAAGACCCAGTGCAGCCAAAAAACAAAACAAAACAAAACCATGCACCAGTGACTTTATAACATCATTTTAGAAAAAAAGAAATAGCACCCTCTTAAATGTACTCATTGATTGGAAGATGAATATCAAATTAAATTAACACTCAAATGTGGGAAAATGTGCATGTTATCATCAATGAAATACTGTCATACTCATTATTATAAAAAGACAAGTCTGCGTTCGCAAAAACAGGCACTGTTGCATCTAAATCAGCAGTGCCCAACCAAAATATAATTCGAGCCACAAATATAACTTAAAATTTTTTAGTAGTCACATTAAAAAGTCAAAAGAAAGAGGTGAAATTAATTTTAATAATACATTTTATTTAACTCAACATATCCAAAATATTGCCACTTCACATGTAATATAGATTATTAACGAGATACTTTATATCCTTCTTTGAATACAAAGTCTTCAAAATCCAGTGTGTATTTTATACTAATAGCATATCTTAATTGGGACTAGCCACATTTCAAGTGCTCAATAACCACATATGGCTAATGGTTAAACACATTGGACAGTGAAGATGTAAAGATTTAAGGAGAAGTTTTGGAGGGGAGGCACATCTAAAATCTAACTCCTTATTATCATATTCCCCCTCTCAAAATTCAGATTGAATGGCAGCCTCGAAGAGGCAAAGAAATCACTGTGATCCTCTTGAAAAGAGGAGAGAAGGTCTAGGGCTCTCTTTATGGATATGTAAAGTGTTTATGGGCTGCTGGGGTAATTATTAAGTCAAGAATTTTTGGCAACATATAAAATCAGTGCCTTTTATTAGAAAGAGCCTAGGATTCAGATCCTCCTTTGCCCTTAAACTGTGGTGTTTGCATACCCAGGTCTCTTAATCTATATGGAACTTGTTATTTTTTTAATGGAAACTGGTATAGATTATCTATCAGTGTCCCCTCCAACTCGTAAAGTCCTGAGAAACTATGAGGCTGAGAAACAGGACAAAATTTAAAAAATTTTTTGGCACTTTCAATGAAAACTTCATAACTTCTTTTGCTGAAGGATCTGATGTTTAAGGTCTATTGGATGAGTGGACAGAGGTGAAAGGTGAAATACAGGACTCCTGGGTTAGCTCTGTTTCACAGGTGCAGGTGGGAAATTTGAAGTGGTCAAGCGGGGCTGCCGGCTTTGGCAATTTGATTGATTCACAAGGATTGCCACGTTCTGCCCTCAGATCTCTGCTGTCCGAAGCACATGAAGGTCTCTATTACCTGGAAGTGCAGGCTGGGGGACAGGTCGTAGGCAGCCCAAGTTCAGGACCACGAGACAGCTGCACTTTCAAGGTGGGTACCAAGCACGGAGGAATGTGTGTTTGCCTGGTCTGAGAGTGTGCTTGCGCTATCGACAAGAAAGTTATAAATCAGCTGGGGAGTCTTTCTTTTTTGCCAGGATGAGAGAACAGGTGGACGATAGTTACGGAGTTTCTGAGACTATCTTAAGAAGGTAAGTATTGAGCACGTGTATGTCAGGCTCTCACTAAGTGCTTTATGCACATTCATTTAATGCTTACAGCAATTTTATGGGGTAGCTTTTTTTTTTTTTTTTTTTTTTGCGTTACGTGGGCCTCTCACTGTTGTGGCCTCTCCCGTTGCGGAGCACAGGCTCCAGACGCGCAGGCTCAGCGGCCATGGCTCACGGGCCCAGCCGCTCCGCGGCATGTGGGATCTTCCCGGACCGGGGCACGAACCCATGTCCCCTGCATCGGCAGGCGGACTCTCAACCACTGCGCCACCAGGGAAGCCCTATGGGGTAGCTTTTTATTATCCTGCTTTTACGGATGAGCAACTTGGGGCTCAGGGAGATTAAATAATTTGTCCATGTCATGTTTGTAAATTACAGAACCAGGATTGGAACCTGCATCTAAATCCTCACTTATACTGAAGCCCATAGAGGAGATAGATTACCATTGTGCATCAGTGTTTCATTTTACAGCTGAGATCATCTGGAGTGTAAGAATGGTGAAGGGACTCAGGGACACAAGTTCCGCCTCCCTCTCTGCTTAACGGTTGATTTCTGCTGCTTCTTCCAACTCTAGACCGAAAGGGCATGTGCTGTTGTAATTCTCCTTCGAGCTCAGAGAGAGCAAAAAGCAAGCAGATAGAGAGAGTTTATGAGTCGATGCCTGCTTATTTTAGAGCTTCTAGATGCATTAATTTTATGTTGGGGCTTTGTTCTATGTTGTTGAGTCTACTGTCCATTTCAGATTGGTTTTACACTAAAATGCTCTCTGAAAGCGTAGGTTCTAGACTTTCCATAAAATGCAGCAGTTTGGCAGGGTTGTACTTGCCCCAGGGAGCCTCTGTTTAAGAGCAGTTCCTAATAACACAATTTAGTTATTAATCAATGCTCCTTTACAACAAGACTTCATCTTCTAAATTCATCTCTCATACGATCCACATTTTACATAGGCAATTCATCTTTAGAATTTGGAATTTGCCATCAATTCACATTTAACAACTTGTTTCTTACTCCAAGAGAATCTTGTTTTCCAGAATTTTGCTTCTGCACATATGCGGCAGAAGGAAAAAAAAAATTCTTTTTTGTTAAGACCCACACCAGCACCTCTACATTGTATCAGTGAATAAAACAGAAGAGGGACGGCTGAGCATGGTCCTTAATCACTGTGCTGTTTTTGGTTTTGATGTCCTTTCACCCCAGATAATAGTTTTCCTACTTATTAAAAGACCGGTAAGGAGAGAGAGGGGAAAGAAGAGAAACACTTCCTAAAATTGCACATAAAAGAAAGCAAGTCCTCCGGTGGTTCCACTAGCTTGGTGAATTGATGAAAAATCACCAGGGGATGCAGTTAATGAGAGGCATTCTGAGCTGAAGGAAACCCAGTGTCTCTCTTTGTTTGGGGACTGGGGCTGGGGGAACCACATGTATTAAAAATTAATTCCACCTCTCCAGTCCACTCCAAAGAGCCTGCTGCAGGCACTGACAAGTTTGAACAACTCACAGAAGGTTTATCAAGCAGCTGGTAGCTGCGGCTTTATCATTCTCATCCTCTGCTTTTCTGCTCCCCCCACCTTGCTGCTGCCGACCCCATTTGGGCTCAGGGATCGGCATGCAGGAAGCTGGATTTGGAAGCTCGTTAATTTTTCACTTTGTCATGTCTCTAGCTTCGTGGGTGACCAGAGACCTGTTTCTCTTAGAAAAGTGCCATTTTATATTGTGTCAGCTCAGAGAGATTCACAAGTGAAGCCTTTTTTGAGGTTTCACTCTGAGCCTGCCCTGCCACTCTCTGAGGACCTGGGAGGGAGTGATGCAGGAGTCGCCTTATTTCCCCTGCACTTCTGGTGGAAGGCTCTCAGCCTGAAGGATAGACCTGGAATTTTTTTTTTCTTTAACATCTTTATTGGAGTATAATTACTTTACAATGGTGTGTTAGTTTCTCCTGTATAACAGAGTGAATCAGCTATACATATACATATATCCCCATATCTCCTCCCTCTTGCATCTCCCTCCCACCCTCCCTATCCCACCCCACTAGGTGGTCACGAAGCACCGAGCTGATCTCCCTGTGCTATGCAGCTGCTTCCCACTAGCTATCTGTTTTACATTTGGTAGTGTATAAATGTCCATGCCACTCTCTCACTTCGTCCCAGCTTACCCTTCCCCCTCCCCGTGTCCTCAAGTCCATTCTCTATGTCTGCGTCTTTATTCCTGTCCTGCCCCTAGGTTCTTCAAATCCATTTTTTTTTAGATTCCAAATGTACATGTGTTAGCATATGGTATTTTAGACCTTGTATTTTAAATTGGAAATCGAGAGGTGTGTTTCCTTATGTGGTTTGGATTCAGTTGTTCTGTCTGCCTCAGTTTCTAACATCTGGAAGGTGGGCAGTAACCACTGCTCTGTATCATGAAGCTCCTATGATAAAGTTCCAGTGGGAATGACAATGGTATGAAGGGCGTCCCAGTGGGAGTTGAAGGTCTGGGTGCAGGAGGAGGCTGGGAGGGGTGTAGTGTACGTTTGGCAGGTGTGTGTGGAGTTGCATTAATCTTTATCCTTCAGTGAGATCAGAGCCAGCTGCCAAACTGTGAGGTCACAGCATTCTTATTTTGACCTCCTAACTGTACATATTTTCTGTGAACTCTTTTCTAACCCTTTCTGTTAGGAAGGGAGGAAACAAGCCTTGATGACAGACTGTACAGCCATGTGAATCGATACTTAAAACCTGCACTTGCCCAGCCAGCATCAGCTTTGTGAAAATGTCTGTTGATTGTCCATGTCTGATGAGGGTTGTTGATTAACACCAGAGTTATTCTTTATTGCTTTTCTCCCTGGGAAGGTGGACTCCTGGGGTGCTGGAAGCAGACCAAGCAAAACAATTTGCTGTCTTTGTTTTGCAAATGGGAGGTACAGTAGGTTAGGGGAGTGAAGGTGGTCTAGGCGTCTAGAGTAGGATGGGGGTGAAGGTAACAGGAAGGGGAGACCAGGTCTCTTCCTGGGTGAGTCATTAGGCCATGGCTCAAACCTTGGCCAGGTCAGTCCATCCTTACGATTCTCTTTTTTCATGCCGGCCCTGACTGTGAAATGCTCTAATCTGGAACTAACCCAGAGGCCTATAGGTGAGATGGAGTTCCCGGAATTGTCTCCTTCTCTCCTCTGCTTCCAGGCAGTGTATCAGTCATCTCAGATGGGGCCATTCCATTCATTCACAAAAATGTGAATGTCTTTTACATACCAGGCTGTGCCCAGGGATACAACCAATGACTCAGCCAGGCGTTGCCCCTGCCTTTCTGGAGCTTATAGTTAGCAGTTGATGTGCTTCAGGGGGTGAGGGCATCATAGGATGACTTGAGTGCCAGGACCAGGCTTCTCCAGGCTCCTGCCTCTCCAGTCAATGCTGGTTTTCTCCTTGGAGAGTCATGTTGCCTCTCATTCCTTGCATCCTTTGAATCATTTTCCTCCCAACAGGCACCTTCCATTTTCCCAAACAAACTTCCCTTGTGTATCTCTCCAACTTCCAATTTTTTGTAGCTTGCTAATCCCTACCAAGGTGCTGGCTGATAATTTAATTTGCAATCCTTTTTATCTAAATAAGCAAACTATTGTCTAGAAAAATTAAAAAAAAAACTTCAAGACCCCAAGATATCAAGTTGCAATAATGGAATTAAAAGGTTGGTATTTTAAAGCATGGCCTGCCTACCTTTCCTTTGGTAAAACATGTTCCTGGTATGGCAGGTGAGCAAGTAGAAACAGACTTGCCCAGGTGTGAGGGATATGGTGCAGGGAAGACATATGACCTTGATCAGATTCCCTTGACCTCATCTATGGAAGAACTATAACAATGTCTGTTATCTCTGCTTCACAGAAATATCTTGAAGATGAAAGGAGATAGATGTAAGGTGATTTGAGGAGATGCAGACACTTGCTGCCTTAGATGAACGCTCTGTGCGGAATGACTTAGGCTTCCTGTGTATGTGACTGTGATGTTCTAATGAAATGCTCACTGTGATAACATTTTCTAAACAGTTTTCCAGGGCACAGACACCCATCGTTTACCAAGTTAATCCACCAAGTGGAGTGCCAGGTAAGAAATCTCCTATTAAGATAGCAATAAATAGAAATCCCTTTGCTGAAGCTTATTGCAAACTCTTCTACCCAGGTGGATGGTTTCTATAGATAGGAAATTTTAACCGCTTCTCTGATGCTGTTTTGAAAATAAGTGTCAACCTCTGGTTTATTTTTCACCTGGTTTGGTTTCACCTCTGGGCACTTTTGCTCTATTACTTCACTGATAACCAAAGGAATCTTAACATGAAAAAAAAAGAGGCCAGCAAAATCAAACCAGATGTTGCTGGAGAATATAGACACCATCATCACTCCTAACTTTATAATCATCCACATAATAAAAAACCTTTATTGACCCTTCCTGGGAGTCAGGTTCTGTTCTAAGCTTTATTATTATATTATCTCATTAGATCTTCACAACACCCGATGATATAGGAACTATTATTATTTCCATTTTGGAGGTGAGGAAATGAGGTACCAAAAGGTTAAGTTATTTGCCTAAAGTCGTAATGAGTGGTACAGCTGAGATTTGAACACAGACAGTCAGAATCCAGAGTGGGCCCATGTACCTTACATTTTATTTTGTGTTGAGCCAAGTTGGGTACCACTTGGAAGGCCATTAACCCTGGTCCTGATCCTGGGGGTTTATGAGTTAGAGAGCACACTTACATGCAAAGACTAGGAGGCTAGAAAAGAAGAGAGAGAACGCTGGGAGGGTGGTTGTAAAAGAAGGAATTGCAACTAAGAAACAGGTTCAGGACCTGCCAAGCCCGCCTTAAAACTAAGTAGTAAACAGAGCTGGGATCACATATAATTTGCTGTCTGATTCTTGACAAATTCCTACATCACTTTCAGGTTTTATTTGTTCAGGGTTTCCAGATGGTATAAGTATGGGAATACAAGTTGCTCAATTTTTCCATGTGGTTGCATCTCAATGCATAAACTGATCTAGTTGTTTCGAACGGTTCAAGAATGTCAAAATGAATCTCTGAGTCACTGAAAAGTATCTGTACTTTTGGTGTGTGTGTGTGTATAGACACAGATGATGTATGTGTGTATTTAAATTACATCCTGAAGAATATGAATTCGGCCTTGTCTTATTAAGGCCTGTTATTCACAGATCTGTTCCTTTCCATTCATCTGAATAATCAAGACGTGATCATGTTTTATTAAAAAGAGCTGTGGTCTGTGAAAGTCACACGCCGTCATTTTGTCCCCCCCACTGCTCTGGTGTTGTTAGAAAACTCCCGTTCGGATGGCAGAAACCTTGTGAGGGTGAGGGTTGAGGAGGAAAGCCCGCCGTGAGAGGTGTGACGTGGGGCATCAGCTGGCGCCCAGATCTGTCAAGCCCCTTTCTCCCGCCCAGTTTGAATTCTGCACACTGTCTCCTCCACCTTCGGGGAGAACGATTGGTGGCTGCGCTGGTTGGAGTGAGCCCTCGGGCAGGATCCAAACGGCTGCATCTTTGAAATCTCTTGCCAGACGATTAGTCTCACCTCCTTTGGGAAGCCTGCCCAGAGTAGCAGGCAGGGAAATGGGGGAGGTGGCAGAGACAGGAGAGCTGTTTTGTGAGCCGCTGAATTCCCATATGCGGTTAACAGGCCTCCACTGTGACGCGGGGTCCCCCCTCCCCGCCCAGCACACGGTCTGGCTTAGCCATTTGTCAGCTGCTGTTTGTTGGGCTTCTTTGTTGAGAAACAAAACAAAAACTCCCAGGAATTCCTAGTTTCTATAACCCGTTATTCGTTTGTAAAATTGTGCCCATCAGTTGTAGAAATCATGCCTGCTAAAGCCAGGAAGTCCATCGGTTAGCCCTAGTAAAATGAAGAATTACTTTGCTGGCTGGCAACAGTAGCCGAGACCTTCAGACTCTGGGCTTCTGCCAGTTCCACAACCTTTGTCTAAGTCACTGAATTTCCTCTCTTTCTACCCGCTCTCTGGTCAAGGGTCCGCCATACTTCCTGGAAGGTTTCCACTGTCTTAGGGCCAGTCATCCAATGACTGCAGATCAAAGTCACTTCCTATTAATAAAACACATGCACAGTATGTAGGGAAGCATTACTTCTTGCTCATGTTCTTTCGTGGCCTGAAGTGTAGCCGTGAAGAGACCCAAAGTCCTCTGAATTCAGGGACCTCATGAGCCCCAAAGATGCCCTCTTCTCTTCTATTTGTGAGGTTTTGCCTCATTAACCAACACCTCTCTTACCTCTCAGTGTTGTGATGCTGGAAGAGTACAGCCTTGATGGTTAAATTCCGTCATTATCTGGAAGGCACACACTTCCACGTTGTGGGGTTGAGTGGTGAACTTTAACTTGCTCTGGTGTGTTTGCTTAAAACCTTGCTTTGTGCATGTCCGTGGAACTGAATTTAGGTGTTTTTCAACTCTGGAGGAAAGCAACTCACGTAGCATCAGGTATGGGCCCCAAACTCTTTCTGAGAAGGGGCTACTCTAGATTTCTTTCCCAGATCCTCTGAGCAGAGAAGGTGGGGGTAATGCTGAGAGTTCCCCTTGACGAAAGGGCGTTGTTGATGCCTGCACCCCCATTTTTATGAACTCAAAAGAGGTGAGTATCAAGGAAAAACTTGCTACCCAATGGGAATCCCTACACATTGCATAGAGGAGACCCAGCAGTGGAAGTCATCCATTTATCAGTGGACAAGGCAGACACCAACCGTCTTTGGATCCCCATTTTGCCTGATCTTTGAACACGAGCATATTTGTTGAATTAATTGCACGTGCAGTAGCCCATCCTTTAAGCCATAACTCTGCTGCTCTCTCGTGCCCTTCTTTCTGACTTCCTGTCCATTTGATTCATCCATGACATTCATCTTTTGTACTCTGAGATACAGAAAGAAGTTTAGTATCTTTGAATATCTCTCCAGATTGTGTGATACGAGCTTCCTCTTATCGTATGTGTCCAGAGGAAAGTCTCATGAAGCATGGAGCACCCCCAAAGAATATTATTTTTAAATCCCATGTGGGTGGATGTTCTACACACAGGCAAGAGAGTGGAACAAGGCAGTGTGTTTAAATGGGCCCCTCCCTGCCTCCCTTCCTGGGACTGTGAAGAAGCCCTGATATTCCTTCTGTGCTCCATACATACATGAATAAGTCCACAGTGGCAATGACTCATTATTTTTGCCTCTTTGATATTTAATATCGATGAATGGATTATACTTGGTGATTCTTTCCTGTTGTACAGTTTATAAAAATGTATTAATATTCTGAGTCATGACTGGCTTGGCCATTTTGAGTAGAGGTAACAAAAGAGAAATACAGTTTACGTTATATATTTAGAGTGTGAGCTAAGTAGATTAATTGAAAAAAATCTTTTTCAAACAGGAAACCTTATACATGTGTATGGCTGGATTATCACCGGAAGGTCGGAAACCTTTGATTTTGATGCCGAGTACATTCATAGGTAAGCGTGTGCTTGTTTCTGTGTTCAACTAGTTACAGATATGCTGGATTGAGTCCTGAGACCAGCTTCCCCGATAACGATAAATTGTAAGCAGCTGGCATGGAATTCCTCTTTTCCTCTTTGCAGTTTACAGTCCCTCGTGAGCTGGGCTTCAACAAACTTGGTTAATGTAATTGCGACTGGTCGATTAAGTTGGTCCATTTATTTACTGAAAACTAGCCACTCTGGGCGCAGTGTGAGTTGTACTGTAATTGCATCTGTGAATTTTCTTTCTTGATTCTTCCCCTTCTCCCTCTTGTTTCTCAGGCTGAAATAAATTCTTTATAACAATGTGTGAACTCAAAAGACCACTATAACATCCTTGTTTGTTATACATTTGTGTATATAGAATTTCTGTTGGTGTGATCAGAGGAAAATGTGGAAGAGGTACTGAAAGCCACCGAGTTATTTTTAAGATTTATTTTATTGAAGTATAGTTGATTTACAATATTGTGTTAATTTCTGCTGTTGAGCAAAGTGATTCTGCTAATCCCAAACTCCCAATCCTTCCCTCTCCTACCTCTCCTCCCCTTTGGCAACCACAAGTCTGTTCTTTATGTCTGTGAGTCTGTTTCTGTTTCGTAGATAAGTTCACTTGTGTCATATTTTAGATTCCACATATGAGTGACATCATATGTTATTTGTGAAAGCCATTGAGTTTTTAATGTTTTCTGGGAATGATTAGGATGCCAACATGACTTTTTTCATTGGAGACTTTTAAAGTGCAAAGTGGTACTAGTAAATCATCCTTGCCAGGGAAAGGGGGGGACAGGATGGAAAGTGTTGAAGCTGAGGTGTTTGTGGGAAGGAATTGTGGTTACTCAACGTATGAAGCAATTATAATGAGGATTTATAGGGTAGAAGGACCACAACTTCATTAGAGGCTCTGTTGAGAGATGCTACATTCTGTGTCTAATATTTCCTCCACCCCTTGGACAGAATGGGGGGATCCTCATGTTCTGCTCCAAACCTTTGATTCTGTTCTGGTTGAAAAGAACATGATTTGGCAAACTTTCAGGATATACATTTCTGGCATAAAATAATGGCCAGGGTATTCCCCAGTGGTCCAGTTGTTAGGACTTAGCACTTTCACTGCTGTGGCCCCGGTTGGATCCCTGGATGGGGAACTAAGGTCCTGTAAGCCACATGGTGAAGCCAAAAAAAAAAAAAAAAAAAAAAAAAAAAAAATACAGTAAATCCCCTACATATGAACCTTCAAGTTGTGAACTTTCAAAGATGTGAACGTGCATCTGGTTCCGGCAAGGAACCAGAACCTGTGCCATCAGCGTCAGGCGTGAGTGAAATTGCAGCCTGCCCTCCATCTCCTGTTGCTGACGATCCTTCGGCTCTACTATCTCCCACCTCCTCTCCCTCCTCCAGTCTGTAACTCTTCTAGCCTGTTCTCTCGATGCCAGCCCCTGTATGCCAGCTGTTGTACTAGACTACTGTACTTTTCAAGGTACTGTATTGTAAGATTAAAAACATTTTCTTTATTTTTCGTGTTTGTTTTTTATGTATTATTTGTGTGAAAAGTATTATAAACCTATTATAGTACAGTACTATACAGCTGATTGTGTTAGTTGGGTACCTAGGCTAACTTTGTTGGATTTAAGAACAAATTGGACTTACGGATGCGCCCTTGGAAAGGAACTCATTCGTATGTAAGGGACTTACTGTAATGGTCAACTTGTCTTGAACGGAAATTACTCTTCCTGTGGAGGACTGAAGCCCTCCCGGGACTTGGTCCCGTCACAGCCTTGGTCTGGGATACAGCCTTTGCAAGGGGAAACAAAGACACAAACTCCTCCGTGGCTCTGTGGGAACCCAGTATAGCCAAGGAGATGATGAAGATTTTTCAGGAAAGGGGAAGTGCTCCCTCTGTGGTGTGAAAGTGTGGGCCACAGACCAATGTTATGCACCCTGCTCTTGGGCTGAGGGTCTGATTTAGCATCTCCTAGTCCCCAGTCACCTGCATTAATGCCCCATAAGTTCAGAGATGAATGTCCATAACAGTGTTTCCTCTGGGTTTTTCCAAGAATGTTTGTTGAGAGCATTCACTCTTGACTTGTGTCTGTTGTTTCTATTTTGTATCCAGCCCATTGATGTTGGAAGCTCAGGGAGACAAATGGGTCACTCCTTGTTCTCTTGTAAACAGACAGACAGGATGCCGGTGAGTGCCTTTCTTGCCAGCATGTATGCTTTTAGGTTCTCCCACATGGGCATAGCGCGTGCACACACACACACACACACACACACACACACACACCTATTTTTAATATAAGTCACCCATAACTGTTGACTGCCTCATCTTTAGACTCCCTAGAAAAGACACAGTAATTGATTCACAAGGCAACTTGAAGTGGGTTCTGAAAGCTTTCTTGAAAACAAATAGCTGATACTTACTAAGTGCTTACTGCCAACGGTTTCACATTTAAGGCAGATAATAACCTTGTGAGTACATACGGTTATTAGTCTCACTTTACGGATGAGGAAACCAAGGCACAGAGAGGTTAAGTAACTTGTCCAATGTCTCACAAGGAGCAGGTGGCAGAGCTCGGGTTTCAACCTGGGCCCACTAACTAGCCTCCAAAGTTCATCCTCTTAACCACTATACTGTAATGACTAGCCAGAGAGAAAACAACTAACTTTTCAATATTCAGTTATTTATTTATTACAAGGAACATTTAGAAAATGAGTGTCTATGTGCTTGTAGTTCAGATAACCAACATTTTGCTGGATTTTCACTTCCCTCCGGACTGAGTGGATTAACCTTCTATACCCTATGGCTTAGCTTCCAGGACTAGCGTTTAGTAGAGCCAAATTCTATAATGTGGTTTCTTACATTTGCTCAGAATTGTCCTGTTTCAGTTCACATTTGCTAATAGACTTTTTTGGGGGGATAAGGATCTTGCTGTCCTTGTATAAAATAGATTTTGGAAAGAAAGGACCCAATGGAGATTAGGAGTAGACAAAATTTTGTGTGTTTGACTGGTATTGATGATAACTCTAGTTACAGTTGTGTTTTATTTTATTTTACATTTTATTTTATTTTATTTATTTATTTTCTTTCCTGGCTAAAGAGCCAGAGCTTCTGAACTGAATTGCCTGGTGATTCTTACCTCTTACCTTTTTCGGTTCTTTCCCTAGCTATCCTATTCAGGAAGACCATGGTCTTGGGACTCTGCAGTGCCGTGTGGAAGGCAACTACATTGGTCTGTGTGAGAAGTAACAGAATTTTAAAGTTTTTCTCTGTGTTGGAAAAAAACGATTTCAAGAATTGGTTCTCCTAAAAGGGAACCCTCCTGCACTGTTGGTGGGAGTATAAATTGATACAGCCACTATGGAGAACAGTATGGAGGTTCCTTAAAAAACTAAAAATAGAACTACCATATGACCCAGCAATCCCACTACTGGGCATATACCCTGAGAAAACCATAATTCAAAAAGAGTCATGTACCACAATGTTCATTGCAGCTCTGTTTACAATAGCCAGGACATGGAAGCAACCTAAATGCCCATCAACAGACGAATGGATAAAGAAGATGTGGCACATATATACAACGGAATATTACTCAGCCATAAAAATGAATGAAATTGAGTTATTTGTAGTGAGGTGAATGGACCTAGAGTCTGTCATACAGAGTGAAGTAAGTTAAGAAAGGAAAAACAAATGCCGTATGCTAACGCATGTATATGTAATCTAAAAAAGACGGTACTGGTGAACCTAGTGGCAGGGCAGGAATAAAGACACAGATGTAGAGAACGGACTTGAGGACACAGGGGTGAAGCGGAAGCTGGGACAAAGTGAGAGAGTAGCATGGACATATATACACTACCAAATGTAAAATAAATAGCTAGTGGGAAGCTGCTGCATAGCACAAGGAGATCAGCTCAATGCTTTGTGATGACCTAGAGGTGTGGGATACGGAGGGTGAGAGGGAGGCTCAAGTGGAAGGGGATATGGGGATATATGTATACATATAGCTGATTCACTTTGTTATACAGCAGAAGCTAACACAACATTGTAAAGCAACTATACTCCAATAAAGATGAAAAAAAAAAGAATTGGTTCTCCTGAGGATGATAATGATAACTGCCATTTGCTGAGAACTCCCTGAGAGACACTATATGAAGCAACTTAAATATAAACTAGAGTAATCCTCATGTATAAGCCTGGAGGCTGGTGGAATTGTTTTTGCTTTACAGGTGAGAAAGTTGAACCTAGTAACCAGTGGGGCAGGATTTGTCATGCTTGGTGTAACTCCAAGCCTGCTCTTCCCTGCTCTGTGCTTCTACATTTATCCTTTTGTGGTTAGAAGTCACCATCGCTGATGGTGTGAGTCTGGAACGTGTTTATTTTGGGCACTGTTAAAGAGATTAAGGTGTGGGTGGTACCTTGGTGATCGCCAGAGTCCTTGGGTTTATGGTAGCAGTGACCTGGTCCAGGCAGTTCGTGCACATTCCTGTATTAATGTCTGTTTCTTTTTGTTACAGGCTCCCAGAATGTTAGTTTCTCAATATTTAACAAAGGAAAGTAAGTAACTGGGAGGAAGCAGATTTATCTTTATCTTACACTATCTACTCTTGTGTCTTGCTTAGCTTCTTTAACCTTTTATAATGGAAAATTTTAAACGTACCCGAATAGAGTAGCGTCATAAAACCCCACATACCCACTTGAGTTTTTGTTTTTACCTGGGTGAATAGAATTGTGTCCTATGCACTCGTCCTGAAGCAATGTAAAAGTTTCAGTGTGATAATGGTACAGAATTTGGGGAATTACTTCTTAAATAATTTCATAATACTGGAAATTTAAAACAGTACAGTTCCATAAAATGCTTTGTATCATGCCAGGAAATGCCTTCTTCAAGATGGGAAGTGTCCAAATTTCATAGCGCTTTGGAGAGATCTATTAGGATTCTGGATTTCTGCTTGCCTCATGTTCTGACACTATGTACTTTGTCAGTGTTTTCCTGAAAAGGGCATTGTCTAGCAGATATTAATTTCATTGTGAAGATAGTGACACAGCCCAAAGTAGAGAGATTTGCTCTTTGTCTCTCTCTGTCGCTGTCTCTCTTTTAGGAAGGACTAAAACAGTATCTGTTGAGTATCTTCCACAGGCCAGCTCCATACCAGGTCCTTTCACGTTCATTTTTCCATTTAATGCTAGTCACACTCTGTAAAGTAAGTATTATTATTCCCATATAATTTTCTAGATCAGAAAACAAACTTTGCCCCATTGATATTCTCTAGTCATCAAAGGGAGCTGGTATCAGAACAGCTTAAAGGTCACTAAAGTTAGTGATTTTCCTTTCAGGCAATCAATTTAAAAAATGTAATCCCCCCCCCCCCCAAAATAAATGTAATCCCAGATGCAGTTTTCATCCAAAACACAATTTTGTCTTTTTGAAGGTCAATGGTACACAAGGATGCATGGCTGGTCAGTGCTAAGCAGGACCTTTTCTTGTACCAGACGTATTCAGGTACCATTTCCCTTCATCGTGTATTTCTCACCCCTCCCCTCACTCGGCCCTGCACCTTGGACCCTCCGTCCCTTCTTTCTGGCCATTTCTCTATGACCATTAACACCTGAAGCCGTCCCTGAAGTCATGGATCGCCCTTTGGTTTTGTATGAGAATAGGTTGCTTGTGTGAGTGTCCACTTTAGTTGCTATATTAAAAGAGGCTTGATCATAGATTTTTATACAAAGTCTAGGGATATAGACAATAAAAGAAAGGGGAGTCATCCCTGTTTTTTGTTCTAAACAAGTAACAGAAAAGAGATGGCACTGAAAAATCTAAAGCACATCTTTGCAGTTATTTTAAACATCTCATCTCTGAGCATTCATTCAACAATTTATGACTTGCTGATACAGATGCTAAGTTTGCGTATTCCTATCTGATGAGTAAATCTTCATACCAAAAGAATCTGAAAACTGGAAACTTTCATGAAATCGTGAACTCGTCCAGTAGTAGAAAGCTGGCTACTAAATGTGAGTGCTAGATTCTCAGCTTGAATACAGTCCCAAAACCACTTAAAAAATGTCTGCGAGGTTAGTGCAGATTCCAGAGGCAGCAGAGTCTGCCTTTGCCAAAAGTGCAAGAAATTTCCTAAGTCATGGGGCCAATGCCATTCACTCTCTAGGTAGCCTACCTCTGTCAAAGCTGACTTTTGACCCTTGGTTTTATTTTGAAGCAGTAACCATGCATAATTAGCCTCTTTGTACCTTCAGTTTATCAGAGAACACGACTACTCATTCCCCTTGCGGAGACGAAACTTAGAATTCTCAGAGTTTGATCATAGGAGGGGGAAGGATCAGAAAAAGTTAAATTCTTGGGGATTTGTGGCATATGACAGTGTAACTCATTCTTTTGCTTAGAGCGAATTGCAGACTCATATGGGTAAATTGAGACCTTGCCTGGTGCATCCAGAGTTGATTCCTCCATAAAGTGTAACCGACTGTTCTGTGATGTGTAAACAGAGTCCTTGAGGTCAGGAGACAGAGTTCCTAAGAAAGCATCATGGTACGCAGGGACTTTTGCTGATAGCATGAGTGACTGCATTTCCCATTCCTTTCACATATTGATCCTGTATAATATATATTATTATCCATATTGTTATATGTGAATCCTTTTCTTATTATATGCACTTTTAAATGACTATTACTAGAAAAAAATTACAACTGTTGCTGGTCTTAGAAAGTTAAAGTAAGAAATAAATTATGGATCGCTTCTATGATTATATTATTATCTGGCTCACATCCTGGTTTATATTTGGAAGCTTACTTTTTTTTCCCCTCTTGCAGAAATACTATCTGTGTTTCCAGAAACTGGGAGCCTTGGGGGAAGAACAGACATCACAATTACAGGGGACTTCTTTGACAATCCTGCCCAGGTTACCGTTGCAGGTAACTAAGTTGAAATGGCTGAAAAGAGTTCATAGATTTAAATGCCATAGGAGATGATGTATCTCTTACGGCCTGGAAAGGATGGGGGGAAGCAATATTTGCCTCTTCCGACTCATCATGGGATCCTGTTCTGAGGTCTTTGACCTGTGTTTGAGGCTGCAGGGCTTGGGGGGTGTTTTGGTCCTGCAGCTTGGCAAACATGTAACAGAAATAGGGTGTCCTGCTGCAGACACACTCACAACTCAGGGGCAAGTCCCTCAGGTGTCCCCATCTTGGGAGGGAAGAGAAGGAAAAGCACAGCTGCGTCTTCACAAAGGTCTACTTCTAAAAGGTGACCCCTCTCCCTCCCCTTAGCTCTGTCTGAATAAGTAAGAGTGGGCAGGCTTTTGCTATGCAGATTCTTCTGGAATGCCCCCTTAATGAACCCTTTTGTGGAGAACAGTCTAGAACCTTTTGTTCTGCCTAGTGGGATGCTCCTCTAGTTGGTGACACCAAGGATGCAGGAAAGTGTCCTCACACTCTCCTGTCAATTCCTCTCCCCAGCTCAGTTCATCTCCAGTGAACGACATGGCAAGGCACTTTCTTCCTGATTATTCTGAGCAGCCCCGTGTTCCACTGCTCTGCCACTCCCCCTTTCTTGCTTCCTTCCATTGAGGTGACAACTTTCTCTCTACTCTCCACTTCTGGCCCTTTGCCTGTCTACCTCAGTGTGGTCCTCTGTCCCGCCACATCTGTATCTCCACTGATATTGACATCTGCATCTAATTTAAATGTTCCCCTCAGGCATTCTGTGTGATATTAGACACGTGTCTCCCAGGAGGATTGAGTGCACCACCAGAGCTCCAGGTAAAGGTGCAAGACTCTCCGCTCCTCAGGCAGGTAAGGAAGTCTCCACGGCTGGTCTATGATATGTGGTCGGTCTTAGCTGTCTGACTGGCTGCTCATTGAGCCTTGGGTCCTGAGTCAGAGCTTTCATTTCAGAGAGGCTCTTAGCTTTACTCAGATGCTTGGCAACGCCCTGCACTCCTAGCCCCAGCCAGCTGAATGACCAATGCGGTTCAGTGGAAACCATGATCCAGGAAGCCTAACTGCCATCAAGACGTTGCTATAGTGACCGGTGGAAACCCCTGAGCGGCCTCCTCCATCCTCTGGGTCACTTGCCCTCTTGCCTACTATTTAAGAAGACAGAGCTTCAGACCATGTCTTCTATGTTCATAGGACAGCTTTAGACGAGGCGGAGGGTGGGGTGCAATGGGGTGCATATTTAAATGTTGTTTCTTCTCCCCTGTGGGCACTGTCTGCTACTCTGAAAAGTAGAGATGTATTGTGATGGGGCCACCAGGTTACCCCTGAAGTGGGCAGAAATGGAGGGGGCGAGGGGCCAGGTTCCATCTGTCCTTCTGTGTTTGTTTAAACCTTCTACTCCACGGCTGCAGATTGCAAGTGCACCGCGGGAGCACTTTTCTGGAAAGCGTTAGAACAGGAGCTCGGGCTTAGTTAGGGACGAAGGGCAGTTGGCGTGCTGGGCAGCCTGAATCACAGGCCACCAGTTGGGAGCCCTATGTGCCCCGCAAGGGCTGTCTTCACCGTTAATCCACAGGCAGGGAGCTCGTCTCCTGAATCTCATCAGGGGAGAAAACTTTATAAAGAAAGGCCATTCGGGTGTGAAAACACATGCAAAGCTTTAGCTGGGAATTCTCCAGTTCCCCGATCTGCGGTTTTTACTCAGGGAAGGCTCCCATGCAAGGAAACAAAACTACTGTGTGAAGCAAGTGATGGAGAGAATGCGTTTCCAGAGTCAGGAGAGAGGGCGCCTGCTCTAGCTACTGGCGTTGCGGTAGAGGAATTTCCTGAACACAGCTTTTCTTGATGGTTGATAACGTCCTTTCTGAAGCGCTTTTGAAATTTCTTCCATGGAAGTGTGATGGGGCGGGGCGGGCGCGCAGCTGTTAGCAGGAGACCATTATCGCGAGACCCTTAGTGCGAGACCTTGAGTGCGTGCGAGGCAGTGAGAGGTCTGGCCCCGCCAGCGGCGGAACTCGTGGCGGTCCGTGGGACAGAGTGCGGTGAGAGGCGGATCTCGACCTTCTCTCTGGGGCCCGTGGGTGAGCTGGGGGGGCCCCGGGACAGGCTTAGGGCTGTGTCCTGCAGGGCTCCAGAGCCCTCGCCTCGGCCGCGCGCTGGCCGGGCCCAGGCCTTGAGGCGGCGGCGAACCTCTCCCCACCTCTGTGAGCTACTGACAGTGGCAGTCTCCAGGGGTCCCAGTCTGAGGGACCTCAGCCCCCGGTTGGGAAGCCTTAGGAGCCACAGGGCCGGCCGGGTCCTGGGCGTCTGGCTCCCTCAGTGGTGATGGCTGGGTGGGGTCTGGGGATCTGGCCCTGAGCGTGCCACCAGCTGAGAGCTGCCTCGTCAGCCGGCTGGGGCACTGGTGGGAGGGCCCAGACTGGGTGCTGGACGAACCCTTCCAGGCAGGGTAACCAGCCCGCCAAGGGACCCCCTCCTCCTAGCCTGGGCTTGGACCTCGGAGGGAGAAGGTGGAGCCTTGGGACCTTGCCCTTTCTTGTCAGAACAGAGAATAACATTTGTTTGGTAGAGATGTACAGGAACATCGGTACTTGACCGTGACCTGACTTCAAGAACAAAGGATCTGACACCAAGTAGTGTGCAACAGATAACCGCGCCCCTCACTCACCTCTCGTATAAAAGGGCTTTGCTGAAGGCTTTCGGGGAGTTTGGGTTTTTTTTTTAAGGCATGAGCCACCCCTCTCCTTGCATGGCCCTGCAATAAACCTTCCTCTGCTCCAGACTCCGAGGTTTTGGTATTGTTTGGCCTCACTGTGTTGGGCACACGGACTTGCGTTCCGTAACAGAAGGACAAAGGATCCTGTACTGCAGTGGTTCTCAATGGCCTGCAGGGGGCACTTGGCAATGTTTGGTCCTTACACCTGGGATGGTGGTGCTACTGCCCTCTAGTGGGTAGAGGGTGGAAGTGCTGCTAAACATCCTTGAATGCACCGGACAGCCCTCACAACGGAGTTATCCAGCCCCAAATATCAATACTGCTGAGGTTAAGAAACCTCAAATAGTATGTTAAAATATGCTTTTATTTTTATGCTTATTCCTTATCTGTTTTCCCTTCTTAGGATTTAACAAGGAATAACAATAGTAGTTTAAAATAATAACTACTCTACCTATCCTTTATTGAGTACTTACTATATTTCAGGCTCTTTGTGTATATATATTAAACTCCCTTAGTCTTTTTCCCCTCAGAATTGTCAAACTGACTTTATTTCTCTCCCCAGCTTTACTGTGATATAATTGACATATAACTCAGCTCCCTTAGTCTTTAGTGCAGTATCTCTGTTTACTATTGGCCCCATTTTGATGGAGGAGAAAACGAAGGCATGAAGCAATTTGCTCAAAGCTACACATCGACTAAGTGGCAGAGCTGGACTCTGAACTCACCCATGTGTGATTCCAGAGCTCTTACCCTCACCCCAATTAGTAGCCAATATTGATCGCACATATGCCTTCGCTCTGAGGGTTTGTTTAATATAAAACACAAATGAATAAGTACGACATCATTTAGAATGTTATGTAATGTTCTAATAGCCTGTCACGTGATTTGCTCCATGGCTACAAATTGAGGCCATGACCTGTGAAAAATTTAAGGATTGCCAAATTTCTGGGACTCAGGGTTTTAGGGAATAGAATTCCCAAGCTGAACTGAATATTAAAAGAGACTGAAGTCCAGTCCTGGCTTCACGAGCCTTCATTTGCTCTTTTACATTTTCTCATATCCAGACACTCACATTAAAAAGAGCTCCTTCGTCTTTTCTGAGAATATTTCCCCTTACCGCTCCTTGTCAAGTCTCTCCTTCTAAGAACTTAAATCCTACATCAAGCAGTAGTTTCCACTTTCTAGAACATTTGTATTATCTGTAGAACATCTCACATGGCTACTCCATCTGTGTCTCAGTTAACTCACCTTTTAGATAGTTCCTGGATCATCTTCACTCTGTAATCTGTAGTAAAGCAGTTCCCCTGCTTGGGGGAGAAGTGCCCTCTGATGTTCATGAGGCTTACGTGTCTTACAGGCAATCGAGGGCTTCTCTTTGAAGTTGGAGACGCGGCTGAGGGCTTGGACCTGACAGAAGCCACCCCTGGGTACAGATGGCAGATTGTCCCTAATGCCAGCTCTCCGTTTGGATTTTGGTCAAAGGAAGGGCAACCTTTCAGGTATGTTGTTGGCAAAGTGCGGGTCCATATCACAGGTGTCTCTACTGGCCTAGGTGAGGCTAGGAGACAGGTAAGTGAGCAATGAGATTTCCAGGGGAAAGTTTAAAATATCTACTAATTCAACAGCAACAAAGTTTGACCGCTGTTCTCAGCTGATGTTGGTTATGCTCGTGGACCACAGGCCCTTTATGGGTACACAGTAAATTTTGATCAATAGGTAAAATTTGTATTTTCTACAGCTTAGTTTGAAATCTGTTTTGGGGAGGACTATTCATGAGAACATTGAGCCGGATAGTCTAGGAAGCTTGGTAGAGAGCGGGGCAAAACTTGCCGCAGGAACGTGGTTAAGAGGTGAGACTAGTATCTGGATGATACTAAAGAAAGACTCGAGAATTTGCCCTTTGGGCACATGAGGGAGCAGAGGCTGGGCAGCCAACAGTTCTGTGGGAACAATTATCCAGTGCCAAATGTCAACCAGATGGCTGGTATAATAGCAGGGGAAACTCCAGTGGGCTCTGGAGACGTTGTTTTCTATAGTGGTGACTGCAGTGTGATAAAGTTTTTCCTGCTTAGTTTAGTTTTGTCTTTTTAATCTCTTCAAGGATGTGGCCAAAATTTCTCATATTTTAATGTGGGCTTAAAAATATAGAAAGTTAGAGAATTGTGGAGACACAGTGTACTCTAAAGGTGTGGATTCAGGTGACTGACTCCTTTAGGTGTGATGGATCTCTTCTCCTTTTGAAACTCTTCTCAAAGAGGTTGGTCATGACTCCTGAGTGTGAATTCCAGCCAACCTGTGACCTCTTTCAAGGATTTGGCCATTTTATTGAACTTTATTCTTTTTGGCCATGTGACACGGCATGAGGGATCTTAGTTCCCCAGTCAGGGACTGAACCCATGCCCCCCTGCAGTGGGAGCACGGAGTCTTAACCACTGGACTGCCAGAGAAGTCCCTTGGCTATTTAAAACTTCAATTCAGTTGTGAAATGGAAGGTTTTGTTCTCTGTTCAGGGAATTTCAGACATTGAAAAGCCAAGTAGGGAAGGAAATCTGAACAGAGTAGAGTTTCTATTGTCTTGGAAGCCATACTAATTAGATATCTAACCACCAGTATACATGGTTTTAAAGTGGAGATATATATATATATATATATATATATATATATATATAAAATTTGTGGCACCTAGTACTGTGTCTTTGTCATAGTTTTTGAGGCTCATCAGTAGTGTTCAAAGGAAAACCTTTCAGCTATATTCAGTGTGTGCAGGAGTGTCAAGGAGAGTCAGGCCACCTCAAAAGACAAAAGAACATTTGGACTGTCTGGTATGACCTGTAGGGTATGTCTGTCTAATTGCCATTTTGAGGAGGCACAAACCAGACAGTAGCTCTTTCCATTCTTTCTGCCATTCGTTTCTATAAAATTCAAAATTTTTAAATGAAGAAGCTGAAATATTTATTGATTGAAAAATTATGATAATGATGGACCTTTACATAGTTACTTTCAAAACTATTATCAGAAAAGATTCTTGGTATTCTTGGTATCTAGACCAAATCAGCACAAACTCTGATTGGTGATCTCTCTTTATTTGTAATAATGAGAATAATATTTAGTATTGATTGAGTTCCTACCGTGCACCAGGCTCTGCACTGGCTGTGTTAGGTGGGTGATCTCAGCTAAGCCTCCAGGCAAACCTACGCTGCGACTACGACTTTCCCAAAGACGACAGGATTGCTCAGGGAGTTGTGCCAGTGCAAAGAGATGGGCTGAGATACTGAGCCAGGCAAGCACCACAGGAAAAGCTGCATCCAGAGGGCTTTGGCCAAATACATGGCACAAGAGTCAGGTGTTTCCTCCTTATTGCCATAAAGACAAACAAGGTCCAAGGGCACCATTTTTTGGGTCAGTGATTCCGGACTTGGTTGCCCTCACTTCTTTGTCTGTGTTCCTCTGCTTTCCAGAGCGCGGCTCAGTGGGTTCTTTGTGGCCCCAGAGACAAATAATTACACTTTCTGGATCCAGGCTGACAACCAGGCTTCCCTGTATTTCAGTCAGTCGGAGGACCCGAGGACCAAGGTATACACCTCCCTCTCGTTTTCCTTCTTCTGGTCCCCAGTCCTTAATTCCTGAAAAAAAAAACCAAAAACTTACAATGGAAGCTCTCATATTCTACTGACAGTTGTAACATGCCATTAAGCAACCAGAGATTTTTTTTTTAAAAAATTGAGATATAATTGACATGATTTTAATTGTTGAAAAAGAGCTTGGCTGAATGTGTTGGCATGTTTATTGAGGTCTTACTGTAAGCTGGGCATTATGCTACAGCTGTTATACACCTTGTTTCTAACCTTCACAGCATCTTGTGAGCTATGTCCCTTTATCTCTGTTTTCCAGATAAGGGCAATGAGGCTTAGAAGGATTGTATGGCCAGTCCGGGGCCACTGGGATAATAAGAGGCATATTAAGAATTCAAACCAAGATTTGTCTGACTCCAAAACTTGCATCTTTACCACTAATTCTGGGTAGGGATGTAGTTAGTTTTATGCAGGAAATTTCTGATCAGCTTTGAAGGATAAGAAAAAGTGTTTTAACAAACAGCCAAAATTAACTAGTGCCATTGACAAAGAAACACAGTATTTCCTCTCAAATGATGAATATAATTCTATGAAATTGCTTTGGTAGTTGGCTAGAGAAACATCATAGATTATGATGCAGTCAAGTAACATTTAGGTTTCTCAGAGGACTTCATACAACTTTACCCACAGCATCATGTAAAGCTAGGGTTTCAGGTTGTCTGTTCCAGCTCTGAACATGGACCATCCAGCCTCATCTGAATAGTATGTAATTGAGAAAGAGAGAGAGAAGAACGGCTGGAGAAACATACACAGGCACAGGTCCTAACTTGTTGGAAAAGGCCACCAGCCCTCAAATTCCTGTTAAGTAGCTGTCTAGACACTTGCTGTTTGAAAAAGAGACCCAGAAGCTTCATAGTGCTGGTCCTGATGTGTTGATTGGGGTGCAGGTGAAAGTGGCCTCCATCGCAGTGGGCACTGCTGACTGGTTTGACTCCTGGGAGCAGAATGGGAGTGAAGAGACCTGGCAACAGAAGGCCCCCAAGCTGGAGCTGCTCGGGGGAGCCAGGTACTACCTGGAAGCAGAGCATCGAGGGAGAGCCCCCAGCCGCGGGGTGAGGATTGGTGTCCAGATCCATAACACCTGGCTGAATCCCGAGGTGGTCAGCACGTACCTCCGGGAGAAGCATCAGATCCAAGCCCGGGCCCAGAGACTTCCGGAAATCCAGGTCTCCGTGTCTTCCTTGTCCCATGGGGTTAGGTTCAGGGGGTGAACTCTGCGAGGAATATAGTCCCGCCTAGTGGAAGGATCGCTGGCTGGGAGCCAGGAGACTTGAGCCGTGATGGTAACTCTGCTGCCAAAGAGATAGGGTATCCATCGAATAGGGTTGAGAGGACTTTTAAAAAAACTGCAAAGTCTTATTGTTGATATGCCCTGATTTATGGATTTAGTTCCAGGAATTTAAGTTCCTGGTAAATCTTCCTTTGGAAACATATTCCCCAGAGAGGAGATAAGGTCATCTTAACACCCACACCCACGTATGCATGCCTGTGAGCGTACACATACGAGATTTCATAGCTTTTTGACCCATTCGGGTCCTATTTCCCCGTATATTACGTTTTCTAAGTCTGCTTTGTACGGGTCAGGGCCTTTGGGTCTCTTGGTTGCGCCCCATATTTTGGTTGGACAAGTTTGGTGTCCTTTCTTTTTTTAAATTGAAATATAGTTGATTTACAATGTTGTGTTTGTTGTACTTTTTGTTGTCCGCTTTTCAGTGTACAAGGTTGACTCAGTATGGACTGTGCCTCTTAAAGCTTACGGTATAATAGTAAAACATGCAGATAAAGAACCACAGAGCAAAGGAGAAAACAAGTAATATAAGATGTTAGGTCTCACCCCATTACAAAAGTGGGATGTGCCCAGCAGGGAATGCAGTAGAAGCAAAGCAGAGGCTGAATCAGCCTCTGAGAGGGTGTGACACGCATGGGGCTGCTTCTCCCTCCCAGGCCACCCCTGGGAGGGAGCTCGGTGAGAAGAGCTGAGAGTGAGCCCTTCAGTGGTGACATTTAGGTGTCACATTCTAAAGAGAAGGAGGGGGGCAGGCATCAGTGGGGAGATAGACATGTATATTCTTCCAAGAAAAGTTTTCATTACGTGATGACACTTGTGTTCTCCAGATAGTTCTAGAGGATAGTGAGTTTAAAAATTGAAATTGTAATACAAAGGAAATAACAAACCAGGGAGGTATGTCCTGTGTTTCTAGGTTGTCTCCCTGGTTCAATGAGCACATGTTCTTTAACCCCGTCACTCTTGACTTTTCAGATGCTGATGGTGTCTGGCACAGGGAACTTCTCCCTTACCTGGGACAATGTCTCTAGCCAGCCAATCCCTGCAAATGCCACGGCCCATCAGGTGGGAACCTTCTTCACTTAAGCAGAGGTGGGGGAAGTAAAGGTGGTCTTTCTGCCCATGGTAGGAACTCCTGGTTGTTTTTCTTTCTTTCTTCTTTTGGCCACACTGTGTGGCTTGTGGGATCTTAGTTCCCCCATCAGGGATCGAACCTGGGCCCTCGGCTGTGAGAGTGCCGGGTCCTAACCACTAGACATCCAGGGAATTCCCTGTTTTTCTTTTTAACAGATTCAAACAGCCCTTGAGGAGTTACTTGCAGTTAAATGTAAACTGGAACCCCTTTCAGCGAACATCCTACTCCGGCTGGGATTCGAGCAAGGTATGATCTCTGGTTTGACAAATTCCTACCCTCTTTTTCCTCCTTGTCTTCTTTCTTTCTTTCTCTTCTTTTTTTTTTTTTTGTCAAAGGGGAACAATCTTCATTTCCTCTCCCAGGTGACTCTGTTAAGAGTCAAATGAAAATATGGAAACTGGATTCGGACCCTGAGTGCTTGGGAGGGAGCTGTTTGGTGTGGGAATCAGAGAAAGAAAAGGCATCCCTCCCGAGCTGTCAGGTGGAGCAGAGTTAGAAACCTGGATGCCGGGGAGCTGGAATAAGGAACTGTGTCTCATGCCGTACAGTGGGAAACGGGCAACAGACATAGCAGGGAAACAGCAAAACAGTGCAAATCTTGCTTAATTCAAATTGCATCTCAAGTAAAGGAATTACATATAAAACAGTAATCTAACAAATTCTAAAAATGTGAGGGTATGTTTTAAAAATACTAAGGTGGACTAAGTTACAGTCAACACTCTTTACCTCCTTGCTTCTCAGTAGTTTTTCTGTGTCATGGTATACATAGAAAAAGGTAATAGATTTTCGATGCTGTAGGGCAGACACGATGGGTTTCTCATGTCTAGAGCCTTCAGGCTGGGGGGTGGGCCGACCACTTCGATCCCTGCCCAGCTCACTCAAGGGCTGAGGGGTCAATGTCATGGCGAACCCATAACCCATTCCCTGTAGACATGTTGGGAAAGTCTATATAACATTTACACCCATCGTCCTATTTTGTTTGAAATGCATCCAGGCCTAGAAGGTTCCAGCTCTGATGGGCACCTCACCAGTGGGACAGAGCCCTTCTGTGGGAGATTCAGCTTCCATCAGCCTCGACACCTTGTCCTGATACCCGCGGCTGCCCAGAAGGGCAACCGGCTAGATCAGTACACACATGTAAGTAGCAGCCTTCGTGCTTGCAGGCGAGGTGGGTAGGGAGGGATTGGAATTATTCTCTGGGGTTGAGCCTGGGGAAGCACAAGAGAGTGATTGCTGTGCCTTGTAGGGCTTTTCGGGCTGAGATGCTAGGTTTCAGGGGTGAACAGACACCTCTGGTCCTCCCATTAGCTAGTTGCTGCATGGAAATGCCTTTCTATTAGCTGAGACCTACAGAAGTTTTTCTACACTGTAGTATTTTCTTTGCTCTCCAGGTATGAGCGCCGATTCTACAGTCAGACTCTGGTTTTGAATTCTGACTCTATACCCTGCATGCCCTCCATGTCTTACTTTAGTTTACTCATCTGTGAAATGGGTAATAATGAGGTTTGGCTTTCAGGATTTAGGTGAAGAGTATATGAGATAATCCAGTAAAGTGCTTGGGCAGTGATTAGGACTCATTTAAGGATAGTTTGTATTATTTATCATAGTATTGTTATTGATGGATAGACTGACACATTCCTTCAATACCCCTTATATCTTTGTGTCACTAGCTCTGCTGTCCTTCATAAAAAATTGCAGCTTACTTGCCCTTTGGGAACCAGAGTGAACCTTCTTGGGGTGGCTAAACTCATGGTAGTTGTTTTAAGTCCTTTCCTAGTTGAATGGCAGTGGGAGCCAGGACTATACGGTTCAGGACAGGGCACTGCCCGACTTCCAGCCTTTCCTCTACAGCACAGGCTCCCAACGCTGGGTAGTGGGGATTTTGCCCCATGGGGAGAATTGGCAGTGCATGGAGACATTTTTGGTCACCAAAACTGGGGAAGTGTTTGTAGAATCCAGCGGGTAGGTTCTAGGAATGTTGCTAAACGTCCTACAATGCACTGGGCAGTCCCCCTCACAGAAAAGCATTATCTAGTCCCAAATGTCAATAGCACTGCAGTTGAAAAATCCTGCCATATAATTTTACTTAACTCAGAGTTAGAAGCCAAGGATGCTGGTGAATTAGGGTTAAGGAGTGAGGTTCAGAGAGGTACAGTGACTTGCTCAAGGTGGAACAGGTATCTGGGTCACAACAGGGGGTTTCTATTGATAATTGAGATGCTCTAAAATCCTCGTGGCCACGCACAGTGTTAGGCATTGAATAACTCTCTGTTGGATGAATAACAATTTGCTCTAAACTATTTGTCTCTCCAGCTAGACCGGTAAGCTCCAGGAGGGCAGGAGCAGGCTGGCTGTCTCTCTGAGCACAAGGCAGGTTCTAGGGAGTGGATTGTCCTTGATAAACATTGCTTGAATTGCTGCTTCTTAGTGACAGAGCTGAAGGACTTCTTGTTTGGTGTCTCTAGCTGTGCCTTGCATACAAAGGCCACATGAATACGATCCTGACAGTGACAGTGTCCTTCACAATTGGCTTTCAAAACACCGTTATGAAGAACGTCACCTGTGACTGGAGTCTTGTGGGGGCCAGCCCTAACAGGTAGCTCATCTGTGGACAGGTGTGTGGGAATTCTGCCAGCTGGGATGATTAGCTTTCCTGGGGACAGTGGCCTATGGGAGGTACTAACTGTCTCTGATATTGGGGACTTGGATACTAACTTCAGCTCTGAACACATTTTATTTGGCAAAGAAATTTGATTTAAGAGCAGTTACTTGTTACGAATCTAATACTCCCCAGAAGGAGTCTGACATTTCTCATAGGGATAGAATCATAGACCACCATATTTGGAAGAGATTTTAGGGAACATTCCTTGACGTTACAGATGAGAAAAATTGGGGCCCTGAGAATTTGTGATTCACCAAAATTCATTCAGCGAGTGAACAAAGATGCTGGAATATAATTCAGCATCCTGATCTCTTGATTCAGCTCTCTTTCCACATCTCTTAAGGGTTTTGTAAGTGTTTTTAAACTTAAATGAGTCTGGAAATGTCCAGAGTATTAATCTTCCCTGATAGTAGAGCCCAACAGGTGATCTGCTTAAGACACATAATCATATTGTAATTTGAAAGTACTGCTGACATTGTTATGAATGGATGGTGGACTTAAACGTGATTCACTTGTGTTGCATCCCAGCCAAGCTGAGCCCATCTTGGATGGATGCTTGTACTGTGGCAGCCATGATGGATTGGGTCTCCTGACTGCATGGTCCTCAGGCCCAGGTTAGAGAACTGGGGCTCTCAGGAGAGAGAACTGCGGTGCTCACAGGAGGCCTGTTTCTGCTCTGCGCTTGTTTTCAGCTGGCAGTTCGCCTGCACCGACCTCTGGAAGACGTGTGTGCATCGCTCCGCGCAGCTCCAGCCACCTCCCGCAAACTCCCCAGTGCTGGTTCATCAGATTGACCTCCTCCCTTTGTCTCCGGAGATGGACGTGTTCTATGTGGATGAGATTATTATTGCAGACACAAACCTAACAGGTGATTATCAAATCCACTCTCCTCCACGGACCTGTCCATCAAATGCTGTCTTTGAACTTTTCTGGAGGGGCTGCTTTTCTGTTAATGGTGAGAGAACATATGATTCTCCTTCTTTCTTGCCTCGATCCTGGAGAGAAGATGGAGTTGGAATTCTGTGTCCTTGGCCCCCATATCTCTCTAACTAGTTCCTTTTTCCCCTCCTATTTATTCCAATGCTTGTTCTTGCTTTGGGTGTCTGTGATCTTACCCCAATTTTACCACTTTCTTGCTGAGGGCCCTTGGTTTTCTCATGCATAAAATGGGCTTAATGAGGGCCCTACCCTATTGGATTACTATGAAGAATAACTGAAGTATAGTGTAAAGCGCTCATCATGGGTCCTGACTAGTAAGTGTTCAATAAGTGTAATCAATTATTAGTACTATTATCATTACTGTTGTTAGGCCAGCAGGATTTCTCCATCTCTCCATCTGTTAATATCTGTCATACAAAGTGCTATAAGGGACACAGCAATATCTGGCCCTGTAAATGGGCCACAAGTCTGATTTACAATCCTTAGGACAGACTCGGTGGGAGTTGGAGGGTCACCGCATCCGCATGAGAACAGCCTTGTCTTTCCTTCTCCCTATCTGGTTCCTCTCACACATCACTCAGAGCTGAGGCCTGGCCCCTCTCTGCACAAAGTCCCTTGACCTCTCTTGGGTGCAGTGCTCTCACCTGGCTTTGCTTGTCTTAAGGGCAAGGTGCTCATCAGGGGTTCTCCTGAGGCCACGTGTGACGCACACCCTGGGGACAGACGCACACCCTGGGAACAGAAGCCCAGACAGATGGTGTGGTTTGCTCGCAGGGCCTCCAGGCTTCCAACTTTGTTCCCTCTCTCTTTTCTGTCAAATCCCTTGTGACTCTGGGGCTCGGCTTTCCTGCTTCTCATAGCTTCTCTGTTTTTCTCTCTCCAAGGAGAAAAGTATGGAACAGGCATTTGCATTCTGATTTTCAAGTGTGCAGCTTTTTAATCTTTTGCCTGGAAGTTGTAGAGCTGGGGGCAGGGGAGCGTGGAGCGTGGAGGTGGGGGGTGGGGTAGGAGAACTCTCTTTCAGCCCTGAAAATACATCATCTTTGATACTCTTCAGAATTCCATCTCTTATCTGTTTCAGTGATGTGAGTGTTTTGGGGGTATCTGGGTCAGAATGTGTCATTGCTTATTTCAAACTCTGTGTTCTGACACACAGAAAATAATATTCAAATGGTGTGCTGGGGTAACCATCTGAGTTTCTTGGTGCCCAAGACAACTGGCTGGGGCCTTTGGTGACCCCAAATGCTACCCAGATTCCCAGAGCACTGAGGGGATCATTACAGCGTGCACTCGAACCCACTGACTGGACTGGGAAACTCAGGACTGGATAATAGGTGTCATTTCCCTTTATCCTTCCCAAACCCTCAAGGCCCAGGATCCAGAATCCTTTCTCACTGCCATCACCGCTTTGCCACCAAATGCTCCAGTATCTGGAGCCATGTAAGGGTGAGGTGGGAGGGGAGCAGGGAGGCAGAGACAAGAAAGATGGGAGATGGCTTGGGTAAAACCGTCTGATTCCCACTGTCCAGTCGTCCTGATGGCCACAAGTTTCCTGTGAGTATTATTTAATGGTAACATAAACTCTACACAGTAGGGCTCCATAGTCATGGTTAATTGTCTGACATTTATCTGATCAGCTTAACACTTGGTTATATTCTCCCACCGAATGTCCTCTATGAAAGTTCTTTTCATCTAGTGGTAGCTCCCAAATATTTCTCACTTAATTCTCAGAACCCCATGAGATGGTCCTGTGATCCCCACTCTATAGATGAGGAAACCAAAGCTGACAGGATACTAAGTGTCTTGCCTCAAATCAGCTGGTATGTGGGGGATATTGGAACCCAGAGATGGTTGACACCAGAGCCAAACCTTCAATGACTCCATACTCAGCTGAGCAAATAAACATTTATTGAGCCCTTACTCTGTGCCTGGCATTGTGCTCAGCATTGGGCCTGCAAAGACTGCCTCGATTGTACAGACTTAGAAAAGAAGCTGCCTTTACATGGTGCCTGGTAGGAGGAAAAGAGGATATTAAACTATATTTGCTGGTCATTTAAACCTGCCATCTCACTAAACTCTCCCTGCCATGCAGACTGATACCTGTCATGAGTCCCACTTTATCAATGAGAAAACAGAGTCGTACAGAGGTTATAGTGATTAGCCAAATAGTAACCCAATAGAAGCGGAAAATAAGGATTTGAACACTGGTCCATCTTAAAGCTTGCACTCTCTCTGCACACATGTTGACGCCATGCTGCGGATAAAACTCAAGTACCTCTAGTATGTGCTTTGTGTGTTCAGTGTTCCCAAGGGGGATCAGCTTGTGTTCCTGGAGCTACCAGTCTTTGGGAAGAAAAGGAGGAAAGGGAGCAGTCCACACTGCCGTAGATGAGCTGTGTGTATGTGTGGCGGTGTCGTGGTGGGAACCGCCAATGATACAGGCAGTGATGCTTGGCTGACTTGGGGCTTATTGAACTCTGCTGTGCAATTAGTCATCGTCTCCGTATACCATGACCTTGCAGTTTCCTTTTGCAACTAAATTCCTACTTCCTCTTCCTTTTCTCTTCCTGGCAGCAGGTAGGTAGGAATCTCTGCTTTAAGTGTATGCTGGGATGTGAGTAACTCAGCCTCTCCAACGGGGACCTTCCACACAGCAGGTCTTCCATCTTGATTTACTTGATAATGATTGGATCATTGGTCTCTAGTTTCTCAGGCTGACTCTGGAACAGCTCGCCCTGGCGGGAATCTGCTGGAATTGCTCTCTGTGGTGGGATCCCCTCCTGTCTACAATGTGACCTCCTGGTTGGCAGGGTGTGGCTTGGAGCTCCCGCTCATCACTGCAAGGTAGGGAACCATCTTTGCTCACCTATCCTTGCTTAAAATTGTTAACTGCCCTTAGAAGACACAGAGGTGAGACTTTTTATCAGGAAAAGCTACCTGCCGTGTTGCTCAAAGCAATAGTTCTGAGTCTTAAGAATGCCGTATCAGACTTACCTGGAGGTTGTGTTAAAACACAAATTGCTGGCCCCTAACCACACCATCATAGTTCAGTACGTTTGAGGCAGGACCTGATAGTTTGCATTTCTAATGAGTTCCCAGGCAATGCTGATTCTGTTGATCTGGGGACTACATTTTGAGAACTAGTTCCTAGTGAATTTGTTTACAGGTAGTTGTGTTTTTATGCTTTTCAGAGGTTCACATTACCACTGTTTGAGAGGAAAACCTTGTTCCTCTCCTTCCATTCCCCATATATTAATCTTACTGGAATCATTTGAGGCCAAAGGAAATAGCCAAAGGAACAAAACCAGCCAGTTCTAAGAGCTCACCACCAGATGGCACTAGAGCGCCATAAGCATTGGTTCTTCAATAATCAAACCTCTCTGGCCACAGTTTACAAAGCAGTAACTAAGAATCAAGTCTCCTCCAAGCTCTTGGAACACATGTATGCTGTAATTTGTTCTTTTAAATTTTCACTAAAATCCAAGTAGGATGGGAAGAATTGAGATGTCCTGTCTTTAAAATTTCTTTTTTCCTCCCATCTCTTTCTAACATGTTTCGAAATGAGTTCTCCTACTTATACTATGCTTTGGACAGTGTGTGAAAAGTAGGCAAAGAAACCTTGAATCTGTGCTCCATTTTCCTTGACTTAGTGTTTCATGGGCCTCTGGGCAGGACAGACATGGAAATCATCAATAGAATGAAGGAGGGAAAGAGCTTCAGTGGTGGAGAGGGAGCTGTCAGATTACCCAGCCCGTGGTCCTGTGCTCTAAACCTACTGAATTATGTAGTTATTAACTCTGAAATGATGGAGTGTAATTTAGGTCCACACTTAGAGGGGTCCTCACAACCTCCTTTTTTTTTTGGCCGCGTGGCATTTGGGATCTTAGTTCCCTGACCAGGGATCAAACCCGTGCCCCCTACTGTGGAAGCGCAGAGTCCTAACCACTGGACCGCCAGGGAATTCCCACAACCTCCCTTTCTGAGTTTTCCTCAAGTCCCTTAGTTCCTTCTGGAAGCCTCCAGCTTGAGCAAGTCAGGACAACCTTCAGAGTGGCCCCCAAAACAGATAGTATCTTCTGTATGGTTTAAGTATGCACATCAATATGTAGCACTTAGGTGATATTATTGATTGAAATCACACGTTTGTTGTTGAAAATTAGGAAAATACAGAAAAACACTTAGAAAAAGTTACAAAGCACTCAGAATCCCTCTGCTCAGAGATAGCTTCTGTTAATGCATTGGATCCATATTCTAACAACCTTTTTCCCCAGGCAGTTTTTATATGCATATATACATGTATATGTTTACTTTTTAAATCTCAGATTGGGACCACACATAAGACACTATATTTGTAACATGCCCTTTTCACCTACTGGTATAAATGGAATATTTCCCCATTTCATTAAGCCTGCTTCTAGATATGGTTTTTAATGGCTGAATAGTATTCCATCTCATGGTGTGTCATGATTTATTTGACTTATTTATTGTATTAAAAGCAGGATTGGTCAGGCAGTGTGTTTGCATACAGGTGCTGGATAAGGACTCCACTAGATGGAATGGCCTGTTTCTGCTGGGGATACTGAGTGCAGAGGATCTGTGGACTAGGGCCCAAGTTTTCATCTGACTGTGCAAATGGGTTCTCCTTCCACTCTGCATCAGGACCAGAGCTGTGAGGACCAGAGTCATCACTCTTTGCTCTGCATCCCTGTGCTTCCAGGATCAATAGAGGGGAACTGTGGAATGCCCTAAAGAACCCTCATATTTACCTTACATTTCCTCTGCTGTGATGGGAGAGGGGTGCCCAGTACTTGGGAGCTTGAGCTCATGGTCTGGAAACATGGGAGACCGCTGGTCTTTGAGATGGAGCTATGTTCTGTCTGGAGCAGCTGCTGGAGGGTCCCCATGGCTAATGCTTTGCTTCTGGTATGTCACAGCTCTGTGCCCACTGAAGGAGCAGAAGAAGGATCCGGGTTGGTCCAGGTGACAACACAGAGACTACAGAGGGCAAGTCCACCTTTAGGAGGACACTTTCGCATCCAGCTTTCTCACACAGTGATTCCTGGTAAAGGGGCCATTGGGAGTGCAGTGTTTCTCATTTGACAACACCCTGCCAGGCAGGGTGACAGTCTTAAAGTTATTTTGTTTTCCAGTGTCTGAGAATGACCTTCTTAAAGTTAAAGATCTGGACAATAACAACAGCATATCATTGTTAATATGATCCCAATCTTTCAGTTTTGTAGATGTGGAAACTGAGTGGATTAGCTTCCTGGGGCTGTCATAGCAAATTATACAACCTTGGTGGCTTAAAATGACAGAAATTTATTCTCTTCCAGTTCTGGAGGTCAGAGTCCACAGTCAAGTTGTTGTCAGGGCCACTCTCCCTCCTCAAGCTCTAGGGGAGGATCTGTTCCCTGCCTCTCGCAGCATCTGGTGGCTGCCAGCATCCCTTGGCTGCGGGCGCATCACTCCAACCCCTGCCTCCCTGGTCACACTGTCTCTTCCTCGTCTGTGTATGAGTGCGTTTAGGGCCCATCTGGATAATCCAGGATGAACTCCTCTTCTCAAGATCCTTAATCACATCTTTTGCTTTATAAAGTAATGTTCATAGTTTCCTGGGATCAGGGCAGTGACATATCTTTTTGAGGGCCACCATTCAGCCCACTATACTCAGGCTTGCCCAAAGCTCATAAAAATAGTTGATGGCAGGGTCCAGGTATGAACTTGAGTCTTTGCTTCTCAGTTCGGTCCTCTTCTCTCTGGAGTTTCCTAGGCCAAAATCCATGGTAGCCACGGCCCTTCCAAATTAAACTCCACAGTGACACCACATGATATTGAGGATTTTAGGAATCATAACACATGTAGAAAGAGCTTTCAGCTGCGATGAGGGTAGAACAGTTTCTAAATCTTCAAGTACATACACATCTCACAAAGGACAGGATTAGACGTGATTATAATATGTTATTTATTTGGTAAAAACATAGGGGAGTCAGAAAGGAGGCTCAGGAGAACTCAAGAATGGCTGTATAAAAATTGGCACATGGGCTTCCCTGGTGGCGCAGTGGTTGAGAGTCCGCCTGCCAATGCAGGGGACACGGGTTCATGCCCCGGTCCGGGAAGATCCCACATGCCGCAGAGCGGCTGGGCCCATGAGCCATGGCCGCTGAGCCTGCGCGTCTGGAGCCTGTGCTCCGCAACGGGAGAGGCCACAGCAGTGAGAGGCCCGTGTACCGCAAAAAAAAAAAAAAAAAAATTGGCAAATGGTCCAGGAGTCTTCTGTCCTCAAGCAGAAAGATGGTGGACTTGCAAAGAATCTTCTTGGCTGGAGGAATGGAGTGGAGTTTTTACTCTAGTAGGGCAAATTAGGAAAAGTTGATGGCCCCTGGGCTATTGGAGTCTGATAAGTGGGTGAATAAGTTCATCAGAGCCCTGCCTCTATGAAGCCCACTACTGTGCTGTTTCCCTTCTCACTAATGAGAAAGCTGCAGCCTGTCTGTAGAGAGACTTTTCCTGCTGTCATATCCTGTTGCTGATATTCCTTACATCACTGCCTGTAGAACAACTGGTGGGAAAGCCAGCCTTCACCTGGCCATTTGAAATGGCCCTCAAATGACATATAAAATCTTTTCAAAAAAGATGAGAATTTTGTTTGCATTTTGGAAATACAGTGGTATTTCACCAACACTTCAGGGCAGTGTGGGATTCAAAAGGAAAGCTCTTGAGTAGGTAGAAGGCAACCTGGGTTTTAATCTAAACCCCTCTCACTTGGTTGACAAGCTTCTGAATCACACTGGGTTTCATTTTCTTCATCTCCCAAGGAGGTATTAGGATATTTAGATGACCCGCCTCACAGAGATGTTGGGATACCTAAGGAAATGGAAACTTTTGGTAAAGCATGAAACAGCGTTCAAACACAGCAAGGCTTAAGCCCAAAGTGCTGTTATTTCTCTGCGGGGATGTGAGATGGGGAAGCAGGTGGTTGGGCTTAAAGGAAATTGTAATGGAGAAACCGAAGTTCAATGCCAACATTCCTCAGCTTGGTTGGCTAAGTTTTTATGGGTGTCAGCTGCTTTGTGCCTTCCCTACTCCTTGTGAAAGGTGGCCGGCCAACTTTTCCCTGTTCACAGGGCCAGCTAAATTTTTCCGGGGAAAACCCAATATTTAATTAGACTTTCAGGGATTACCAGGGTGTCTGGAATTTACATTTTGAGTTGACATTTGAGATAAGTTTGTCTGATGCGATTGTGTTCTCTGCTTGAGAGATGTGATGCTGATTAAAGGGACCATGATATAAAAAGTGAGCACCTACTTATATTTGCCCTAAAAATGGCTTAACTGGACTGAGGATTTTCTTGAACTTGATGGTCTCTGCATGTGTAGTAGGCATTCTGATGTGTATTCTCTGCTGTCTTGATGATGAGATGCTGCAAGGTGGACTAATTAGTGTCCTGTACGTTTTATATCATGACCTTCTCCCACAGCTGTCCCTGTGCACATCTCAGCTAGTCACCTCCAAAAGCTCTTACAAACCAACGCTGATGACTTCACATCTAGGTACCTTAATGTCAGTGACTTCACTGTGACAGAGGATCTAAAGTCTTGCTATGAACATGTGTGGACTCTCTCCTGGTCCAACCAGGTTGGGGACTTGCCCAGCTTTATAAGGGTATGTATGGTATCCCTTTTGGTTTTGTGGATTTAGTGCTCTGGAGCAATTTTGTGAAAAAAAATCAGAATTATATGAATGAAAACTGTCACGATTTGTGAATTTTGTTGGAATATTCAAGTAAAGGGGTTCAATGATCTTTCTGAAAGTTTTCAAGACGTATTTTATATCTCATATTCCTGATAAAGCAGTTTAAACCCAACATCACCTTTTCTAACTTGATGTAGGTAGAGAAGTTGTTGGTCAGTGTCCAGCATACAAAAATTCCACATCTGTTATTGCATAATTTAAGCAGATGTGATTGACTTAGATTATCATGGAGGCAGATGGCACAGCAGAAGGAAGTTTAGGAAAGGATTTGCTGTCTTTGGATAATGACAAAACCAGATGCTCTTGCATATTTAGGGTTTTAAAAAATAATCTAATGATCATCTAGCGTTTGGTTTTATGAAGTGAAACCCGAGATGAAATTTTATTCTTGTTATTTGGTATTGCAGGTCATCTGGTTTTCAAACAAAATCCTTGGGTAGAGATGGAGGAAGGATAGGAGTCATCTCATGGCACTTGTTTCCAGACATTTTATTTTAATATTTTGGATTGAAAACTTGTAAAATAGAAAAGCACATGGAAACAAAATATCTCAAGACTTAGAAGATCAGTATAGTGTGCATTTTTTTGGGTAACTCTACTTGCATATAAATATTCTTCTAGTCTACTGGGGCTTTCATTAGCCATTACTTACTATTAGGTTACTAGATTTCAAGCCCCTGTCTCTCCATTTTCACTTTGCAGCTATCTGATTATCTTAAACAGAATGTGAAAACACCCTTTGTTATTTGTTTTAAGCAAGATTAGACTTGATTCCATGGCAGAATTCACCAGAACTGTAACCATCTTAGGTATCTGATGAAAACCTAACGGGAGTTAACCCTGCTGTAACCACTCGTGTGGTATATGATGGTGGAGTCTTCCTTGGACCCATATTTGGAGACATGTTGGTCACTGCCAACCAGTACACTCAGGTGAGAGCGGATGGGCCACCCAAAGTGAAATACTAGTTTCAGGTCTACTGCAGCCCCTCCTGATTTGTAATGTGGACCAATCCTAAAGGTCAGCTTTCTAATTCACAAAACAGAGAGAGCTGTGGCTGTGCTTTTCTACCTCCACAGGGTATGGAGAGTACACTGAAAATATAAGTGCTTTGTAAATACAGCATCCTGTTATTATAATTATTGATGCTACTATGGTACCAAAAATAGAGAACCTCTCTAGCTACATATGACTTATACCTCCACACAGTGGCCTTGGAAAGTAAATGAGCTAAGTCAACCCCTTTTCTCTTTAAAATGTCCTTTGCTATTTCCCATCTGCCCATACTCTTGTTATAAGTCATCTGCTTTTAATTAGAGACAATTTTGAAACGCAAAACTATAAAGAATAATATAACCAACACCTGGGTACCCAAACGAGGATTAACAATTGCCAACATTTGATGTATTTATTTTATTTTATTTTTGGTCTTTATGAATAACGTGAAACACTACAGATGAAGAATTTCTTATCACCTGTGCCTTCATGCCATCCCAGTACCCCTTCCCTTATAAGCAAACACTATCATAAATATAGTGTGTGTGCTTTTAATCCTTATTTTATATGTAGAGATTCGGAGTTCAATCTTTTTCGCCTTTCTTATCTCCAAGTATTGTAGAGTTCTATTAGATTAACCTTAGTCCCAGTGAGAGGAAAAGACATATAATTTATTCTTGGGGACCTCCCATTTTAGGGTAAAAAAGACCCCAAGCCAAATGTCCAAATACACTCTGATCTTCAGTTACACATCCATGTAGCAATGGTAGAACAGAGGTGCCTACTTCACTGGCATTTACCAGCAAAGACAGGGCTTTTCACAGGAAGTAGGTACTCAGTTGAAAATATAAAGTGATAAAAAGTTCTCACTCAGTTTGAATTTACTTCTATGTGACAGAGAGGGAATTTACTCCAGATTGAACATATTTAATTGCAAAAATGTTAGGTTTCCGCTTATTTACCATCGTTTTAGAAAAGCCTAACATGTTTGGAGTCATGCTTTACAATTTAGGGTCTATTACTGGAAAATAGAAGGAAAAAAAGAGAATAAGTGAATCATTAACACATTTTAATTTGGGCAAACTTCACAAGTACTTTATTAATACGCTGGAGCATATGAAACATGTACGTTTGCTTTTAATGCTTTTGTCTTTTCCAGGTGGTTGTGCGAGTGAACGACATACCAGCTTATTGTTCAGGTTCCTGTTCCTTCCAATACCTTGAAGGGTCAACTCCCCGGGTCCACTCTGTGTGGTATGCCCTCGGTATGATGTGCACTTGGCATTGAGATGGGCGTGAACTTTATCTTTTATTTTTTTTTGAAGTATAATTGATTTACCATGTCATGTTAGTTTCAGTACAGGGATTCAGTTATATATATATATATATATATATATATATATATATATATATATATATATACACATGTATGTATACATGTATATATATATGCTTTTTCAGATTCTTTTCCCTTATAGGTTATTACAAATATTGAGTATAGCTCCCTGTGCTATACGTTAGGTCCTGATCTGTTTTATATATAGTAGTGTGTATATGTTAATCCCAACCTCCTAATTTATCCCTCCCCCACCTCTTTCCCCTCTGATAACCATAAGTTTGTCTTCTATGTCTGTGGGTCTATTTCTGTGCATGAACTTTAGACTGAGAGTGACTTGTTGGAGGCCGTGTACCTGGTGATGTGTGGGTAGAAGGTGTGTCCGTTCATGGGGTGGGTGTTGAGTGATGCAGCAGAAGGTGAATTTTTTAGCCAATCTAAATGAAATGGTTATGATTTGAAATTGTGGATTTTTTTTTTTTTTTTAATTTCTTGGCTGCGTCGTGTGGCATGTGGGATCTTAGTTCCCTGACCAGGGTTCGAACCCGTGCCTCCTGCAGTGGAAGTGCAGAATCTTAACCACTGGACTGCCAGGGAAGTCCCGAAATGGTGGATTTTTGATGACTTAAAATGTTGGGCTTCCCTGGTGGCGCAGTGGTTGAGAGTCTGCCTGCCGATGCAGGGGACACGGGTTCGTGCCCCGGTCCGGGAAGATCCCACATGCCACGGAGCGGCTGGGCCTGTGAGCCATGGCCGCTGAGCCTGCGCGTCCGGAGCCTGTGCTCCGCAACGGGAGAGGCCACAACAGTGAGAGGCCCGCGTACCACACACACACAAAAAAATGTTGTATTCTCTTTGTCCCTTGTTTTGAAATTTTCTTTATTTTTATTTTTTTCCCCATTTTTTGTTGACTAGTGATTTCTCATCACTAGTTTGAGAAAGTTTAAGATGAGGGCTCTACGCTATTAAAATCAATATAGATTCCAATACATGAGTCAGCATTTAATTCCTTGAATTTTGGGAGAGGAAGGTGAGAGGGAATGAATATTTGATAGAGTTCTTGTAAATGGAGTGATATCACTGAGAAATGATTTCTTTCTTTTAATTTCTTTCTTCTTTTAAGATGACATTGACCTACTGGTCTATATTACTGGAAATGGTTTCTCTGGTGACTCCGAGGCCTTGCAGGTTACAGTGAACAAAACAAGTTGCAAAGTTATTTTCTCAAACCAAACGAATGTGGTGTGTCAGACAGGCCTGCTGCCCGTTGGAGTGCATCAGATTTCAATGTTGGTGAGACCCTCTGGTCTTGCTGTCAGTGCCAGTGGAGGAGGCCTCTTCCTAAACGTGGAGCCCAGGCTGGATGCTGTGGAGCCTTCCAGAGCTGCAGACATTGGTAATCCGGGGGCACCTGCCTTGCATCTGACCCTCTGAAGCTAGCATTCTTGCCCATCTGCAGGAATCTAGTCCTGCCGTGGAATAAATTCTGTAGCCACTGTGATTCACAGCTTTCTGTTTTCTGCCATCAGCATTTCTTCCAATGAGTAATAGACATTTGAGCCCTTACATGAACTCACTTGCCACCTAAAGGACCATAGTTTGGCTGATGGCGTCAGGCATCACTGGGTCAATCATTGAGTCATTGGGACAATCTGATCAAATGGAAATGACACTAGGAGGGGGAGTTAGGACATGTGCCTGGGTTTTCAGCCTGCCAAAATCAGAAGTGTGACCTTAGAAGTTTCAGATACTTCTGTGGGACTTAGTTTCCTAACAGTGATGAGGATGGGCACAGGATCGTTTACTGAGTACCTGTTCTAGGTAGTCGCACACCCTAAATGCTTACAGCCGCTGGAAAGGTGGAATTATTATCCACATTTTTTCAGATGAGATAATAGTATTTCTAAGAGAAGAGTGACTTCCCCAAGGCTTCCTGATGGAAAGAGGTGGAGCTAGGATGCAAATCAGGATTGTGGGACGCCAAGGCTCCTGCTGCTTCTACCTCACCATGCTGTCTTACCCATGCAATGGGCTGAACAATGCTTAGACCTCTTAGTTTTGAGTGAGATTAAAGTGAGCCAACAGGTGGGAAAGTCCCTTGAAAATTAAAAGCATTTGCAAATGTGAAGTACAGGCCTGGCCCACTAGGAACTTAATGGGTGTTTCACAAATGTTTGTAAAATGACGTACACTCGGATACTTGGCTAGCAGTCAAAGCCAGCTACCATTTGAGTAGTGGGGTATGGAGAGGTCAGCAGGGCTTGCCAGCATCAGCCCCGTGCATTGGGTCTTAGTGCCATGGCAACCAAGGCTCTCCCCAGGCTTTCTGAGGGCCACAACCTGTTTAAAACAACCCAGCCAGACTGCAAGAATCTCAGGAACACTCATGCCTTTATATGTTAATATATGATTTTTAGAGCATAAAAATTTTTCCTTAATGCCTTGGATTTTTGTCATTGTTTATTCTGTTGGCCAAAGATTCGTGGCTTAGAACACTTATTAAAGTAGTGTTTCCTGGCTACAAATTCATTGTTCAAAGGAACAGTTGATTTCTGAATTTACTTGGCCTTATAGAGTAAATCAAGAGGCCTGCTTTTTTCTTCTCTGCACATAAAACCGAACAAGCTTGCCCTTATTTCTCAGTGATTTAAGGAGGGAGCCAGATGGTCTGTGGTGCTCAGAGTGAAAGATCACACTCTATATTAACCCAATAATTATTGGTTTGAGTCTTCCCACCAGATGTATAAGTGGCTTTGATCTTCCCATAAAGTTATCTTTGCAGTTCAGGCCACACCTTCCTTCCCCACTCGACTCCCCCACTGGACTGCAGGTACCTCCAGGGCAGACAGGTGACTCAATCAGCTTTGTCCTCTACACAGAGTGACTCACACAGGCAGACTGGCCAACTGTCCCAGTTTCCTGGGACTGAGGGGTTTCCCAGGATGCAAGACTTTCAGTGTTAAAATTGGGACATGGAACTCTAAGTGCTAAAACTTGGAAAATCCCAGACAAACTGAGTTGAGTCGGTTACCCTGTCAGGGTATGCTGTACCAACAATACATGGTGAAGGGTTTGTCTAGGAGGACTGTACACCACCCCTCTGTATTTTAGTGAAAGATGGAAAACTCAGAGAAGGGATAATGTGGGTGGGTCCAAATTAATCTCTGGTATGACTGAGGGGAAATGGAAGGAGAGAGAGATTCTAGCTGCTACTTTATTACTGGATTTAAACTTTCCCTCTGAACCCTTCCTCCACCCTGCCACCTACCTAGTACCAACCAGTATCAGTCAGTCCATCCATCCATCCATCACTCAACACTGACTGAGCCACCCTGCGGAAAGCCCTGTGCCAGGTGCTGAAGACCTTGGTTCTCAAAGTGTGGTTCTGGACCAGCAGTATCTCCATCATCTGGGAGCTTGTTAGAAATGCAGTCTCAGGCCCCATCTCTCACCTCCTAATCAATCTGCATGTTCACAGGATCCTCAGGCAATTTCTATGAATAGGGCAGTTTGAGCAACACCGCTATTGGGGATTTAAAGAGAACCAGGCTGAGTCCTACCAACAAGGAATTTACAGAACAGTTGAGTATGTAATGAATACGTGTAATAATGTGATCAGTAATATTCCAAATCACCACTTGCCCATATGCCAAGTGCCCTTAAAAGGATTAAAAAAAAATATTGATTCATTTCTGTGTGTTGGGTCCTAAGGTGTGGACGCTTGTGAGGCACTTCAGCTTTCAAATGGGAATGGCATTGTCACTGCCTCTCCAACTTTTAATTATTATCAACAATAATAATGACAACAATTTATTTAGCTCTTACTATGTGCCAGTCACTATGAATGTTGAGCATAACAATAAATTGAAACAAAGTCCCTGCTCTCCTGGAGGTAAGTGTGTAAGAGAAAAATAAAGCAGGGGAGTAGTGACAGAGGGAGTGGTGGTTGTGATAGGATGGTCACTGGCACTGGAGAAATGACAAGGATGTCACTGGAGGGTGGAGACAGGGAGGAAGTGAAGGAATGAGTCCTGGGGAAATCTTGGAGGAGATTCTAGGCAGAGGGAACACCAAATGATAAAATCTTAAGTCAGAATGAGCTCAGCTTGTTCCAACCAAGGAGGTTTCTGTGGCTGGAATAAATTGAGTGAGGCGGGTGGTAGGAGATGACTGGGAGCAGATCATATGGCTTTAGAGGCTATGAAAGGATATTGGGTTTTTGTTGTTGTTGTTGTTTTTTGGCCATGCTGTGTGGCATGTGGGATCTTAGCTCCCTGACTAGGGATTCAACCTGCGCCCCCCTGCAGTGGAAGCTCAGAGCCCTAACCACTGGACTGCCAGGGAAGTCTGAAAGGATGTTGGCTTTAATTCTGAGCGAGACAGGTGCCACTGGAAAAGTTTAAGTGCAAAAGCAACATGATCTGACTTAGGCTGCTGTGTGAGGAGATACTGTAGGGAGGCAAGGATGGAGGCTACTGAAGCCATCCAGGGGAGAGAGAATGTTGGGTTGGACTAGGGCAATATCTCTTAGAAATATATATTTATCATTTTATTGTTGTTGCTTGTTCCTTGGTGTCCTATCTAAGAAACGATTGCCTAATCCAATGTCACAAGATTTATGCCTATATTTTCTTATGAGTTTTATAGCTTTAGCTCTTGCATTTAGATGTATAATTCATTTTTAGTTAATTTTCGTATATAGTGTGGGTTAGGGGTCTGTATTAGTTTTCTAGGGCTGCTTAACGAGGTACTGCAAACTAGATGGCTTAAATAACAGAAGTTTATTGTCTCACATTTCTGGAGGCTATAAGTCTGGTATCAAGATGTCAGTGGAGGTGATTCCTTCTGCAACAACCTGTGAGAAAATTTGTTTCATGCCTCTCCCCAAGATTCTGGTAGTCTGCTGGCAATCTTTGGCATTCCTTGGGTTGTAAAAGCATCACCCTGATCTCTGCCATTGTCTTCACATGGTGTTCTCCCTGTGTCTTTTATGTGCCCAAATTTTCCCTTATTATAAGAACACTAGTCATATTGAATTAAGGACCCACCCTACTCCAATATGACCTTGTCTTAGCTAAGTACATCTGTAATGACCCTATTCCCAAATAAGGTCACATTCTGAGGTACAAGTGGCCAGGACTACAACATATGAATTTTGAGGGGGACACAATTCAGGACTCATCTTCCTGGTGTTGAGCCCTAGGGTTGGGGTGCCCAATATGTGGCTCAAACCCCTCACTCCCCAGGGAGGGTCCCCTGCTGATATCCCCCTTTTCTTCTGTGTCCCCTGCTAGGGGTGTGGGTCCTGAGCTGATTGCTTCTCCTCCCTTCCCACCCAACTCTGTGAGGATTTCCTTACAGCCTTGGTTGTAGAAGAACCTTTATGCCAGCATCGAGGTTGTTTGCAGTGAGAGTTGCTCCACATGTAGATGTATTTTGATATGTTTGTTGGGGGAGGTGAGCTCTGCATCATCCTACTCTGCCACCTGATCTCCCCAATTATAACTGATTTGTAAGGTATTTTAATGTCTGGCAGAAGACCCCTTCACTCTTATTTTTGAAATTTTGTTTTCCGGCTATTGTTTTTCATTGAATTTTAAAATCAGCATGTCTAATTTAAATTAAAAATGTTTTTTGTATTTTTATCATGATTGTATTGATGCTTTAGTTTAACTTAGAAAGGTATGCCACAGGCATCTTAGGTAGCCTCATCCACAAGAGGGCAGACAGCAGAAGCAAGAAGAACTACAATTCTGCAGCCTGTGGAAGGAAAAACCACATTCACAGAAAGATAGACAAAATGAAAAGGCAGAGGACTTTGTACCAGATGAAGGAACAAGATAAAACCCCGGAAAAATAACTAAATGAAGTGGAGATAGGCAACCTTCCAGAAAAAGAATTCAGAATAATGATAGTGAAGATGATCCAGGACTTCGGAAAAAGAATGGAGGCAAAGATAGAGAAGATGCAAGAAATGTTTAACAAGACCTAGAAGAATTAAAGAACAAACACCTAGAAGAATTAAAGAACAAACAAACAGAGATGAAAATACAATAACTGAAATGAAAAATACACTAGAAGGAATCAGTAGCAGAGTAACTGAGGCAGAAGAACGGATAAGTTACCTGGAAGACAGAATGGTGGAATTCACTGCCATGGAACAGAATAAAGAAAAAAGCATGAAAAGAAATGAAGACAGCCTAAGAGACCTCTGGGACAGCATTAAACACAACAACATTCGCATTATAGGGGTCTCAGAAGGAGAAGAGAGAGACAAAGGACCCGAGAAAATATTTGAAGAGATTATAGTCGAAAACTTCCCTAACATGGGAAGGGAAATAGCCACCTAAGTCCAGGAAGCACAGAGAATCCCAGGCAGGATAAACCCAAGGAGAA